TATTACACCTAATATTTTAGACTTAAATATCTTATTTTTTATTTAAATTAAGCTTTTTTTTATAAAGACTTTATATTAAGTCTAGGCAAGTAATTATTTACACTTTAATACCTTGTATTATTTTTTTTTAAATAAGTGCTAAAAGATCTTTTTTTAAGACTATTTTAGTCTTGCTTTTATATTTTTTAAATAGGGCATTTATAGGGTTATGCTTGCCTAAATAATATAAAATCTTAAAGTTATATATTATTAAATTTATATATTATTTTACTTACTTTTTACTATACTTTTACTGCTGCATAAAAAAATAAAAATTTATATAATTTAATTATACCGTTATTTTATAAGGGAAACCTTTAAGGTATTACCTTTAATAATAAAATAATTAAATAATAGCAAATAGTTTCTTATCTAGGATTAACTAATTAATTTTTACTTTAATAAATTTATAAAACTAGAATATAACTGGATAATATTTCCCTATGTTATTTAATTAAAAATATATTCTAGCTATTCCTGTGTTACTAGTATTTACTTTTAATTATTTTTTTTGCATAAGGTTAAAATAATGTAATAAGGGGGCTTTTATAAAGGTATTAAAAAAAAATTAAAATACTAGCTTTTCACGCTTTTAAAATTATAGGGGCCTAATTTTCTTCCCATGCTATATTTTTTTTATTAAACTAGTTAATAGTAAGGTAATTTATATAAAATTATAAATAAAATAATAATAAAAATTAATAAAACCTAAAAAGGATTATAGGGCTTTATAAAAATAAGGTTTTTTTTATAAGGTTATAGTAGTTACTTATTCCAGGTTTATTTTAATACTATTTTAATTAATTATAAAACCTAGAAATTTTACCTTTTTTTTAAAAAAGGTATATTTTTTTAAATTAGTAAATAATTTAGCCTTGCGTAATTATTTAAAAACTTATTTAATATACTTAACATATTGCTTGGGGTTAATAAAAAAAATTAAAATATTATTAAGGTAAATAATATAAATTTAATCTAAAATATTATAAACTGCAAAATAAATATAACTTTAAAAAGTGGTAAAAGTATTAGTTAAACTAAAAGGTATAATAATATACTTATAGTAACTATATTAATATTAAAAAGCTATTTTTTATTAGTTTTTTTTATAAACCTGGATGCAATAATAAATATTTTTTAAATTAATTTTAGTATAGCGGGTTGCTCCCGAGATCTAGTTAAGAATTTTTAAAATAAAAAGTAAAGGGTATTAATTTTTAACTATTATTTTATTTAACCCTTAATAATTAATATATAATTATAAGCCTTTATTTTTTTTAGGTATAAAAAAAATAGGTGCTTTGGTAGGACTTTTAAAAGGTTTAATATAATTATATTAAATATTTTTATTAATATACTAGCGTAACATGGCTAATTTAATAAGTAAAAAAGGGTAGATTAGCCTATAAAAAGATAACTAGCTATTTATTATTATAATACCATGTATAGGTACTAACTTTAAAAATATTATTTTTATACCGTGTAAAAAAAATATATTTTAAAATATATTAAGTTTAAGTAGTAAATTATTTATTTAATTTAACTTGCCGCTATTATAAACTTTTTTAAGTAAAAAAATAATAATAAATATATAAGCTTAATTCCTGCAAGCCTTTATAAATTTATATTATTTAAAAATTTAATATTTTACTACTTTATTACTAAATTATTATTAATTTACTATTATATAAATATACATGGCTTAGATAGTTATAATAAAAAAAATAATTAAATATTTAATTTTAATTTACTTAATTTTTATATAAGGCTGTTTAAATATTTTTATAGTGCCCTTAAAATTAATAACTTTAATAAATATTTTTTATACTTTTTTTAAATTATCTTGCTAACCGCTGTATCCCTTTAAAATAAAATAAAAAAGTTTTATCTAATTTAAATAAGCACGCTTAATAAATTTTATACTTATTATATTTACCTTTACTTTAATATTTAAGTCCGCCCTGGTTTTAATTTTATCCCGCGGAGCTTTTACTATTATTTTTATTTAAAAATACTTACTTATTTTTATTTTTAGATATTAAGCTGGGGCATAAAACTTTACTTTAACTTTTTTTTATTTTTTTTTTTATATATTTTACTTTTATTTTAATTTATATACTTGCTTTCTTGCTAATTATCTTACTCTTTCTTATAATATTCTTTATTTTAAGGGTTTTTAACCACTATTTTATAAACTTTGGTAGTTTAATTAAAATTTACCAATTAAAAGTTAGGGTTTTATAATAATTTTATATAATTAGGTATAATATAACTAGGTTTCCCGTACTTAAAACATGTTATAGGAATTAATTTTAACTAATTTTAGTTTAATATTATTTTAGTATAATTTTAAAAAGGTTTTATTATGCCAGGAGCTTGTCCCGCAGGTATTTTATTATAATTTTTTTTAAAAGTTTGTCCTATAAAATAACTTTTTTTTTAGGTTTTTTTATTATAGGTAAATTTATATTAATTTTCTTTTAAATTAGTAGTGTTTTCTTCTTGTTTAGCAGGTTTTAATTATTTATTATAATATAAGGTAATGCAAGGTTATAAATATAATATACAAGATTAATATTATAAGGCAAGTTAAATTAGGTATTTTTTAGTATTAGGGAGTTTTGCATTATTAAAATTATAAATTTTATTTTAAAGTAAAGGTAAAAGCTTGCTAAAATAGCATTAAATCTATATTTTTTTATTATTTTTTAAAAAATATTATTTTAACATGGCTAAATAATTAGTAAAATCCCTAGGATCTTGGTCTCTTTTTTAACAAGCTAACTTTAATTTAATTATAGTATTTAGTAAACTAGTTATTAAACTTTTTAGGATTATAGCTATCTATTTTTTAAAGTATTTTTAAAAAAATCCCTAATATTTTTTATTTATACCCTTTAATTTATTAGCATGTTAAATTTAGTTACTTTTATATATTAATTTTATTATAGTTAAAGCTCCTAGAATTTACTATTAATTTAATCTATATTTTCTAGGTGTTTTTTTAAAGTTTAATTTTAAAGTACCAAGCTAGTTAAAATATTATTATAGGCTAAAATTAAAATTATACTTAAGTATATTTTTATTTTTAATTTTACTATAATTTTTTAGTAAATTATTCTAATATTAATATTATTTTAAAAATATGTTATATTTAGCTAATTAATTTTTTAAATACTTAATATACTTTTTTATATTTTATAATTATTAGGTTACTAGCGTTTCACGAGTGTTTTAATAATTTTTTATAGTAATACTTTTAATAGTTTTAATAATAAAAAATTATTAAGTATTAAAGAGTCCTTTTTTAAGACTATTAAAATAGTTTTATTTAAAAATAAGATATAAGTATACTGGCGGCATAATACATGTTTTATAAGTAGTTAATAAATAAAAAAGTTAAAACTATAAAAACCTTAAGTAGGCTAACTAGGTATAAAACAAAGTATTAAAAGGCTATTTAATAAAGGATTAATATTAAATTTTAAAACCTAAAATATATAAAAACTAACTTTTAGCTAATTATTTTTTACTAGGGCGTTAGCCTTAAATATATTATTAAAATAGTAGTAATATTATTACTACGTGTTAGGTTAATATTACCATAACTCTTATTTTATTAATTCCCTTATTTTATTAGGGCTTGGCACCCGTGGGTGTGACAGTATTATATATTAAAACTATTTTAATAATAGTTTATATAATTATTACTAAAGTGGCTTAGTATAAAAATATACTTTATAAATAGCCCGTGGCCTTAGGTGTAATACCTATAAACTAAATTACCCTTAATAAGTATATTAATATACTACTTAATAATAACTTCCTGGTTAACAGGGCGGGCTATAATTTTTTTTATTATATTAATTTTATTAGCAGGCTTATAAAGCACAAGCTTGTGCTATAAATAGTATAGCTATTTATAAAGTTTTTTTAAAATTATTAATTTATAGCCTAAATAATTTATTATATTAGTAATATAGGCCGCTAGTAGCTAGGTTAATAAAAAAATAGGTAAGTAAGTAAAAAAAATAGTACTATTATTACCTTTAGTGTTAGCTATTATAATAAAAAAAATTTAAAAAATTAAGGGTTTATAAATTACAGGTTTATATAGGTAGGTTATGTATTATTTATATAATTTATTTTTTTATTATTTTTTAAATACCTTTATTAAATTTACTATTATTACAGTTATTAAAAAAAGTGTTACTATTTAAAACAGGCTGTTAATAAAAGTGTTAAATATTAAACAAGCTATTAATAATAGTATTTTTAATATTTTAGGCGGGATAAACTTTGTTCCGGCCTCGCGCATTACTCCCGGCATTAAAGCTTGCGCCCTAGAAATAACGGGACCTACGTCAGTTAAGATAATCTGTTATTATGCTTTGCCTCCAGCCGTTGTTTTTATTACACCACGCTCTCCCCTTTTCTTACCTTACCCAGTCTCACCCTCTATCTTCCTCTCCATCCCATCCCATCCCCCTCCCCCCTCCTCTTCTCCTCGTCATACGCCTCTTCTTTCGCCTATACGTTCTTCTCATATACGTTCAGTTCAGTTCAGTTCAGTTCCTGTTTATATTTATAATATCTGGATTGCCGGACACTTCAGCAACTACTCAACCCACCCAAGGACAAACAACTGCCAAGTCACTGGACCTACTGCCAACTACTGCCTGGCTGTGCAACAAACAATCTCCATCTCATCTCCGTCTCCGTCTCTCCTGGATTCATAGATCTGATCATTTGACCGACTCTCCTTCCATGGCTTCTTAATCCATTCTATACGGTCTGATTTGGTGTTTGCTCGATCTCCCTCCCAGGATCCCCTCTAGGATTCCCCTCCAAGATTCCTCTCCAGGATATCCTCCGTACTCTCCACTGGATCAGGCCTAGTTCGCTCTTCAGCCCAGGACAACCCATCAACTGCTGCCATGCTGGCCCAGCCTCTACCCTTCATGTACCCTCAACCTCAACCTCACCCTCATATGCTTCCAACACCTCCACCTTCACCCCCTCTCTCCCGCTTCTATGCCCCGGAAGACCGTCTTGGATTGCTCCTAGCCAACCGGCTGGAGCTCACCAGCATCCTCGGAGTGGGCGCCTATGGTGTTGTTTACACAGCCGTGGACATCCACACCGACGTGCTCTACGCAGTCAAGGCTCTCAACAAAACTGGGCTGGATCCCCGCCAGCTCAAGTTCCAGCAGCGTGAAATCAAGCTCCACCATATGGCCAGCCAGCATCCCAATGTGGTCTCCCTCGTTCGCATCATGGATTCGGACGACTGCACCTACGTCGTTATAGAATTCTGCCCCGAAGGGGATTTGTTTTCTAGCATCACCGACAAGAGCCACTTTGTCGGGAATGATCCCCTGGTGAAGCGTGTCTTTCTTCAGATCCTGGATGCCGTCCATTACTGCCACTCGCTGGGAATCTACCACAGGGATCTCAAGCCGGAGAACATTCTGGTCACCGACCAGGGAATGACCGTCAAACTGGCCGACTTCGGCCTTGCCACGACCGACATGTTCACCTCGGACTTTGGCTGCGGATCGACATTCTACATGTCGCCAGGTATGTTTTCCTTGGTTCTCGGCACAACAACGCTAACCCTAGCAGAGTGCCAGCAACCGAACCCTCGCCCGATGTCGTACTACCAGTCAGCGCCGAACGACGTCTGGAGCTTGGGTGTCATCCTCGTCAACCTCACTTGCGGCCGAAACCCGTGGAAGCGTGCCTCGATCGAGGACTCCACCTTCCGCGCCTACCTGAAGGATCCATTCTTCCTCAAGTCTATTCTTCCATTGTCGGATGAGATGGTTTGTATCCTCAGCCGCATCTTCGAGCCCAACCCCTCAAAGAGGATTACCATCCCGGAGCTGCGCCAAATCATTCTGGACTGCCCTCGGTTCACGCTCAACCCCATGACTCCTTGGGGTTCAACCACTGGACCTCTCGTCAGCTACATCCACCCCCCACAGGTCGCGCCAATTGATAACCTGAACACGCAACCCTCGGCCTGCTCTTCCGATTCGTCGCAATACTCTGACGCCTTCTCGGCAGTCTCGGACGCCTCATCCTACACCGAAGGCTATTCAGACATGGACAGCATGTCCTCGGTACGGCTGGACGACTACAAGGACGACTTCCCAACCGACGCTCTGGCATGCGGTGAAATGCCGGAGCCGCTTACATCACCGGTACCGGTGCCTGTGGCGGGACCTCTCGTGGTCTGTCAGCAACCCTTCGCCTACCCTATTGCCGTCTGTTAAATTCGGCCTTCGATATGATTTACGCCTACACATTTATCATTCTTCGCACCCTGGACATTTTTCGATTCCCCTTGTATTATCTCCCCGGATCACTGGTTTTCTTTTCTCTCTGGATATACGATTAATAGTTTGCCGGATTCCCTCGAATCCATTGGATCTCCCGTGGACTTGCCGTTGGCCGTGCCATGGGACTTTTACCCAAGGATTGCCCTGGATTGCCTAAGGATAATGCTTTAGCCAATCCCGGAACGATCCACGGACCAAAACCTGGACTTATGATAATATGTTCACATATTATTGGGAGGATTTCTTGGGATTGCACTTGCACTTTTTTTTTTTTACTACTCGGGCTTAATTGTCATGGTGCTTGGAGTTTTGGGTTTATCGTGAGAAAATACCCCGGAGATGAACTTGCATATCTTGTATTTTTTTTTATTGTGGGATTACTTCATGTTGGAGTTGGGACGGATGTTGATCACGTCATCTTGGAAACGGATATACCCGGAGATCTATACGAATGCCGGCTTCTACATTGTTGATAGATAGTCTGGCTTGCTGCTGGTGGCTTGCTGCTTTAGCGCACAGCGCCGATAAATACGATGCTCGAACGACGTCTACCTCTCTGTTCTCCATAACGGACTTATGGTCTGTATGACTTGTCCTCATCCTAGGTTGGAGACGTTCTTGAATCAAGGTTCAACTTGACGTTATCCCTTGCAGAGCACTTTTGTTTCCTTTCAAGGTTAGCTCTTGAATTATATATAGCCTTTGTATAACAATCATGTACATAATAACTCATTGAACAATCCATCTCGACATTGACGCTTACTGCCCAGCCTCGGGTACTTGTATTTGTAGATACTCGACGGGCACATGGCCCTACTTATCAAGTACCAAATCGAGCACCAAATCGAGCACCAAATCGAGCACACCCAAGTGTACCATGGAGTACATCCAAAATGTTCACTTCGCATTTAGGATCCAACCCAAGAAGCTGCTCACTCGAATACACCTCAACATATACTAATCTACATATTCCTCCCCCCCGTAACCCGAATCGTCTCCCCATTAACATAACTAAACAACGGACTAGCAACAGCAAGGACACTCCTCGCCGCCTCCTCCGGACTCGCCGGCCTTCCCAGCGGAATATCCGGATACGCAGGCTTCCCATCTTTCCCAGCCCCCTCCTTCGCCGCAACCTGCTGCCCCGGAATCCCCAGCGCAACCTTCGTCCCGTCGGGCGTCGTAATGAACGCCCCCTTCTCCTTCGCAGCCGTCAGACGGGTCTGCACGAACCCGAACGCGATCGTGTTAGAGCGGACGCCGAACTGCGGGCCCCATTCTTTGGCGATGGTGCGGGTTAGTCCGACAACGCCGGCTTTTGCCAGGGCGTAGTTTGCTTGCCCGCTACGCGCACATCTATTTGTTAGTATTGGGTGAGCAATGTGGGAGGGGACAACGCACGCATTTCCATGGATCCCACTCGTACTCGAGATATTGATGATCACGCGGGGCTCCCCGTCTTTAACCCGGAAGTACTTCGCCGCCGCGCGGATGAGCTTGAACGGCGCCGTGTTGTGCACGGCGATCATGGTGTCCCATTGCTTGTCTGTGATCTATGCCCACTTCAGTATCCCCGTCACATTGCGCCGCTGGCAATCTGGCAATCTATAAGTAAGAAGCCTCCACATGCAGAACATACCTTATGAATAACCCCATCCCACGTAAAGCCCGCATTGTTAACAATAACATGGATCTTGCCGTTCCCGAATTCAGCGGCCCTGTCAACGAGCGTCTGGATGTAGGCATCGTCCAGGATATCGCCGACGACGGCGACGGCGCGGTTTGGAGACGCCGCGTTGATGGCGTTGACTACCGCATTTGCTTTTTCTACCGCCCCGACGACGTTAGCTTGAGTTCTGAGGACTGGTGGATAGATGGATCAGCGTACCGCCGTCAATGTCAGCGACGACGACCTTTGCGCCCTCGTTTGCGAACAGGCGGGCTGCTTCCGCGCCGATGCCTTGGCCGGCGCCGGTGATGATCGCGACTTGATCGGCGAGCAGGCCGCGAGGGTAGTTTAGGTGGGCGTTTAGTTGGGAGAGGCGGGAGGACATGATTACGATTTTTATGGGTTGGATGTTTGAGGAAGGGTGGATCGCAAGAAAGTTGGGGGGCGGAGTGATACTATGTAGTTGGTTATAGTTGCGGGGGGTTTGCCGAGGCCCGTTACGGTGCAGCCGAGAGCCGTTCGGTTGAGCTCAGTGTTGCCGACTAGTAGAGCAAAGGCCACGGAGTTCTTGAAATATAAGGTGCAAGGTAAAGTGTGTCATTAGATTACTATTAGTGACGGTGATAGGCTAGTAGCTGGGTAAATTGCAAAGACATTCTGCCTCGGACATCGCATGAAGGAACGTATCAGTCATCGCCTCGGACCCTCCAATAATCTGCTGCAGCCAGTTCCCTCCCAGTCCATCCTCGAAGCCGGCCGCTCCCTTGAGGAGCCCCAGCGTCTCCTTGCAGAGCAGGAGGCGGCCGCGGATGAGGAAGCGGCGGACTCGGCGCGCCTCGTCTGCGCCCATCTCATACTCTCCGTAGCCCACCTCGCGATGCCCCTCCCTGGACTGCGGAAGGAGCTCATACGAGGTCCAGTAGTCTAAGAGCTGGAGAGTCAGCTCGAGGGTGGACATGCAGAGGATAAGGCTAGTATCGTTGGTGCTATGGTTGTCCTTGTGTCCGCTTGGGCACTGCAGGAATCCGCGACACACCGAGAGCGCTGCTTGCACGCCCTGGAGCATCTGATCAAACCGCAGCTGGGCTGGGCTGACGACCATCTGGCGGAGATGATCATGGTAAAAGGCTAGCGTCTCCGAGCAGTCACAGGTTGGCCGTAGGGCACTCGGGACGTGTACGGCAAGAGGAAAGCTAGTCAGTCCTTTCGTGATGAACTCTTTTTGTAGGAACGTCGGTGACATTGAAGCCGCGCATGGGCTATCAGCCATCGTTTCTCCATAGAGCGAGGGGTATTCGCAGTCGGCTAGGAACATGGAAGCATCGGGTATCTCGCCCATCGGGCTTTCCAGCGGCTGGTCAATTGGTAGACTCTGCGCAGGTTAGCGCTGTAAAGCATGCAACGGGTAGGAACTACCTCGGTGTCGCTGCGCGCGAATCCCGGGCTCGATATGGCTTCTAAGTTCCGTTTGGGCAGTCGATCACCCGAAGTAAAAGCAGCCTTGCTCTCCTGCAGTTGCCCCAGCTTCCGGAGCGTGGATCGATTCTTGCTCCCCTTGGGCTTGCCCGACCGGTTGGCGACTCGGTAACGGCACGGTAGCCCATGGCGGAGGCAGCGAATGCACGTATCCTTTCCAGACAGATTGCACTTGACCTTGGACTGTCTACAGTTCTCACAAGCAGTCCGAAGCTTCGGTGTTTCTCCACTAGCGGAGGAGGAACCGGATTCCATCGATGAGGGTAACTGGTCTTGATGTTATGCAAAAGGAGTGGTCGGCAGTCAGCCAGGGAAAGAAAAAGCACAACTCTAGGCTGTCAGCCATGTATCCCCCAAGCGCTCTGATTATATAGACATGACCGTATATATCGTCGAGCTCAGTTATACTTGACTGAGGACCCGAGCACAGACATAGTCAGCCGTTGTGAAACCCAAGAATTCCGTCTGATCCACCTCGCATGGCTCCAACCAACTGCGATTTATGGCTAATCTGCACATCTCAGCAGTCCAACTGACACCAGCCTCCAGAAACCTAAGCAATCCAGGCCAATCATCGTGCATGCCGCTGGTTCCTGATAGGAGGCGAGAACAGCCGTCCAGGCCACTGCCTAAGCACGGCAATGCCGATGAATAAGCTTAGGTGCGACGTTGTGTACAGCAATGTACAAGCAGTCGGGGACAACTCTCCCAGCGTGTTGGCCATGAGTTCCAGGGAAATTTCCTTCATCTTGAGGGTACCCAATAAGAACACATCCTCTGGCCGAGGAAAGCATGGAAAGCATACTCGGGAGCAGGCCAGCGCACCATGTGAGTTGTAACCAAATGCAGCAAGTCGTCCCTGTTTTTAGCTTGCGACACCGCACAGGCAGTGAAATCACAGGCCTCGACAGCGCACCTTTCTTGCAGCTTCTCTCTATTACAGCCTCCTTTTGCGGTGTACTAGGGTTCTTTCGCTAGGTGGTCCCCAATTTAGGGCAAACTCAAGACTACTCGCAGTCGCACAGTCAACCCTCTTTGGTTGGACAAATCTCGTATGGTGAGCGTCAGCGCGAATTTGTCACCGTCACCACGTATAGCATGCTGAGATTGGATCAGTGCCAAATTCTGGACACCAAGGTAACGTGCTATCCACCCAGCACTTTTCTTTTTGCCTGTTCGTGTGATCAACACGTTTTTGCCGTCCACGAATCACAGCAGATCTTTATAACGGACAGCTTTCTGCAATCCCGCTATGCCTATAGTCAAAAGCCCTGAAGAGCCCTGTCAGATGAGCCACCGCGGCGCAGACAACAAGCACATGAAAGATCTGATGCGAGCTGCCCCAAAGATCGAACCTCCCTGGTCGCAGCCGTTCGGGGACTCGGGCTGCATATATCCCCGCACCCAGGATGTACAAAAATCCCTGAAGCAGAAGCCAGCCGAGGCCTATCTGCCGCATCATCTGGTCACGCCCGTAGAGCTGCAGACCGTGGACGACGGGAAAAACCGCTGACAGGCCCATACCAACAAACATGGCTGCACGGAATGGACGCCAGCGGGGGGTCCGGAACTGGGGGAAGATCGATACCACAACGCAGCCAAGGCCAATCGTGCATATCATGGACCAATACAGCCTCTGCAAGTCAGGAACGCAGTAGAAGCCGTAGTAGACGCTAGGTACAAAACTACCCACAATCAGTCCTACAATGCCAATGTAGTCAAACGTGTTGCCAATGCGTGCCACAGTCGGGGAATGGTTCGAGATGGTATGGTAGAACGCCGACATCCCCAGACAAAATGCTGCTCCCGCAAAGAAGCAGCCAAAGGCGTGGATATCGCCATCGGTGGCGGTTTCATAGCGTGGGGCAAGGGCCCGATAAAGTTGAAGAGCGGCAGGGATGGCCAGTACAGATGGCAATAGATGGGAGTAGATGTTCACAGTCTCGTTGTGAATATATGTCAGGGACTGGAACGAGCCGAGAAACGAATACGATGCCGGTCGATACCCTGTATGGATATGCTGATTATCGCGCTGCCAGTGGGGCAGATCGTCCCAATGGACGAGCGATCTGATAGCCCGGGGGGGATCTTCCAGGACTGCAGTAGCAACAGAGGCTGTCTGACAGCTTCCTGGATCCTTCTTATGGCTTTCGGTGGGACGACGCTGACGAGGTGGCATCGCGAATAAGCAAAGAAATGGAACGTAGAGTAGCGTGACCAAGTAAAGATAGCCAATGCGTAGATGCAATAGATGCAGTAGATGTCCGTAAATTCTTCAGGGCCTCATAATGAACAACGAAGATGTATCCGAGTAGAAGATGGAGAAGAATAGTTGAGCCCAACATGTCTACTACAGGATGTTGGGACAAACAGGGCAAACGAGACAAACTCGGCAGTCGGACCCGCAGTCTGGAGGCCCACTTTGCATCGTGCCTTCCCCGCGGTCTCATCGTCACGAATGATTCGCATCACACAGACTGTGCCATGTATCGCACAAATATCAGCTGCGAGACGTCTTCATTCCTTCAGAGCCCGTCGCATACACTCGTTCTCTGGTGACGGAGGCCCGGGATTCATATCCTGCATACCATATCTGACCTCATTCTACGGAGTATACCGAATGCCAGTTCGGATTAGCTGCAGCTATGAGTGGTCGAGCTCCTCCAGCGAAATGGCCTCATAGTCGTCTGAAACCGGTGGCGGACTCCCTTGAGACTGTGGGATTCGTGTCAAAGGGAGATCGCAAGTATGTGTCTAACGACTAGTCCGAGGCACAAGTTGACCGATTTGACCACACAGATTGCTGGACCACAAAGCCCAAAAGGACTATTACGACAAGATTGTAGCCAGATATATTGAGTTCTGTGCTCGCCATTCCAAGAACCTAGATGCAGCCTGGTTATCTCTCCCCCGAAGCGCCTCGAACGATGCGACGAAAAACCCGCCAGCTTCCGTTTCACAATCCACCAAATCGGCAGTGTCACCCGGTCCCTCAGCTGCCACAGAGTTGTCCACCCTCCTTCTCTCCCTTCGTAAGCTTCGCGAGGCCGTATTGGCCACCGCCTCGACCACCCCAATCGCCTTCTCCCAGCGCGTCCATGTGTTCTCCATCAAGGTCTCCATCCAAGCTCGACATCCACCGTCCTACTTTCCTTCCCTGCGCCACCTTCTCGACGATCTTCACACCCCTTCCAACCCGTTGCCGGAAACTGAGCTAAAGTATCACACCTCGTACCTCATTCTGGATTATGCGTGCCGACAGGAGGATTTGGTTGCCGCTTTTGAGCTGCGCGCCCGTGCGCGCAGGCAGTACAATTTCCACTCGCGCGAGGTTGACCAGATCCTGCAAGCCATTGCACATGACAACTGGATTGTATTCTGGCGGGTCCGAAAGGAGGTCGATTCTGCCATGCGCGCAGTCATGAATTGGGCAGAAGACAGGGTCCGGCGACATGCTCTCAAGGCAGTTGGTAAGGCGTACCTCGGCGTCGACATTGCGTGGATCGTCGAAGGCTGCACTGGAGACTCGACTTGGACTTGGGAGACGCTGGCAGAGAGAGAAAAGCTAGGCTGGGAGAAAGAGGGTGACAGGATTATCATCCGGAAACCGAGGTCGAAGCCTAGACCCGAGGGCAATCTTACGCCCATCCAGGAGAAAAGCACGGGTTGATTACGATATATTTGTTAACTGCATAGCGCTCCGGAGCATTGGTGACGGCGTTCGGTAAAGGTATTGGTCGTAGCATTTGAAGTTATTCATACATACCACACACACTGTACCCGCGTTCAAGTAGCTAGCGCCATCACAACTTGAAATCTGCATTCAAGCGATCTAGGTTTGTATGACCTGTGACTGGCTGTTTGGCAATGTTTTCGACAAGCGTATGTTTCAGTTGTACAGCTTTGTCAGAGCACAGCTCATAGACGGTCGCCAGATTGAAAACAAGACTGGAGAAGGAGTGCTGTTCCTGAACCAAGGATTCCAAAACCCCGCGTGCCTGAACGGTCAGTATATTAATCCCTGACTCGTACAACAGGTCAGCCACATACCTCACTTAAGCGGCCAGTATACAAGAGACACACAGCCAGATTCTGGGAAACAACCGCCTCGTCCGTTTCTCTGCTCTTGTTGCCTAGAATATCGCGCCATTCGATAACTGCATCGTCATAGCGGCCCTCAGCCATACTAAAAAGAGGCTTGAATATTGCGTCCTCGGTATCCGCCAAACCCGCACACAATTGCCTCGCAGCATCTACATCGCCAATGGCAAGTAGAAGAAGTACCGCTCTCAGCTTTATAGCATCGTTGGCTGACTCCGTGATCCTCAAGCTCTCCAGTGATCTCTTTGCCGCGTTAAAATCTCCCATTTCAACCAGTGCGTTTACCGTCCGCACCCCAAGATCAGACAGCCTCTGTTTCCAGATTTCACGTTCCGCTGGATCGATGTCTGGACGCATGATCTCCCTGCGAGCTTCGAGTCCGATCTCGTACAAGCCTCCGATTCCCCTGCGCGGGTCTCCAAATCCGATACTTTGCAGCCGGATGGCTAGAACGCGGAGCGGCCACGGCGCGATATGTTGAGAGGAGCTTGATTCGTGGTCAGGAGCATCGGCCGCTTCAAGTTCGGGTTCTACGTAGTAGAACGTGGAGCTTAGGTCTTCCAGCGCCTTTGACTCTTGGGCTGCAATGTTCGTATTTCCGGAGAGCTCCAGGCATGCAAGACGTGTGTAGAAAAGCGCAAATATCAGCTTGGTATCCGTCGGGGATATCAGAGGTGATGTTAGAATCGTGCCACTTAGGTAGGCCGCTAGAAGGAAATGGCCTTCAGCCAGGAGTCTTTCGAGGGTGACGAGTGACGAAGCCAAACTCTCATCAGACTTGGGGGATATAAAGTCCGACCGCAAGGCATGCGGGATGTCAACTTGTGATAGAGAATGATAGTTGTCATAGCGAAGAAGAAACGAGAGGTCCTTCTCCAGTTCTGGTGGAAGTTCTGGGGCTAGAGGGTCCAATGAGCTGAATGATTCTCCCGTATAGATCCCATAGTCTGCCGCATTTTGATGCAATGGTGTGGGAATCTTGCTTAAGCTCTCAACCTTCAGAGGGCTAGTAGTAAATGTCATTAGCATCCACCAAGAGGCATATACTTTAGATTACGCTTACTCGTCTGGCTGGTCTAATGGCCCTTTGGTTGAGCTACGCGGTCTTGATGCTGGGTATCTAGTTAACTCCATGGGTTAGGCAGCAAGATAGCTGTTCAGCTCTTACATCGGGAGACATTGCGGCCGTGCTTGTGGCCGTCCATGGCGTAACCTTAGTCTGCAAGTTGAAAAATCCAGCGTGCCTAGGGTTCTTTGAAAATAATATGGGTGATATATATCAAAGAAAAAGTACCAGACTGAAACCGAACACAACTTCTAGACTGACCGAGAAATGAGGTTATTTAGTTCCCCAACGGGGATCTGCCTAATCTGGGGGCGCGATTCTGCCCGAAGGCGGTGAGGAGATCGGCGAAGATGGCAAGTTGGCCCCGTTTTTGTTTGTTGCATCGCCTTTGAAACATCTACAAGCCACACTTGACCTCTCTTTATTGTCTCATCCGTTCAACTTCAACTCTTCACCCCGTATCCTCCTAATCAGCTCAGCTGCCCTTTATTTTTGAGATAAGAGCTATTGAATCTCCATCATGTCGGTTCTTACTGAAGAACTCCGCTCCCGAAACTTTAGTACGGCGATCATATCAACTTGTTGACAGAAAGCAGGCAAAGCTAACAGCTCAACCTTCAGGTATCTACGGTCAATGGTTTGTAACCTCTTTCCGTCCAGAATATCGTTTCTTTCCCTCGTCGTAATGTTGCGCATCGTCGAACTCTTCGGATGAATCATGGTTGCCTGGAATCTCAACTGGATATGCTTGGCATTATTTGCGCTGGAAATCCCCGGATAAGCGCCTGCTATTGAGCATTCGCAGACCTCCATGCCCTCGACAACTCGATATAATGCCACTGTAATCTCGAAGTGGATTGCTAACCTGTTGCTGTTAGGACGGGCGTGCTGTGCATCATCCTGTGTCTTGCCGTCGGCATCGCCAACATTTTCTCCTTCAATGCGGTGCTCATCGTTTTCAGTATTCTGTGCATGTAAGCCGACGCTCAAACTGCTTTACCGTGCGTCGAAACTAATTTGTTCAGTATCTCCGGCTGCATCCTCGTCTTCACTGAAGTGCCCTTCCTCCTCAGAATCTGTCCTACATCCGCGAAGTTCGATACCTTTATCCGACGTTTCACAACCAATTGGATGCGTGCTTCGATGTATCTCATTATGAGCATTGTTCAGTGGCTTAGTCTGCTGTCGAGAGCTTCGAGTCTGCTCGCCGCGGCCGTTTTCCTCCTCTTCGCTGCTCTTTTCTATGCGCTGGCTGCTCTCAAGAATCAAGAGTTCGTCGGTAGCAAGACCCTGGGAGGAGCGGGCATCGCGCAAATGATCGTATAATGGAGCACCATCAATGCCCCTGGACCGATTCGTGCTGACATTAGTCCGCGCTTTGAATTGCCTCGTATGAAGGAAGGCAATGAAAATGAACTAGAAAGGACGTGCTGAGTTCTACCTGTGTCCACTGCGCTACGATTACGAATTGACGCTGCTGTTCTCAAGCCCCGTTTCGCTATTCAAGATTTTGTACTAGTATCTCGTGTTTGTTTGAGGAAGCCAGGCCTTGTCTGAGACTCGAGTTGGCTTTTGGAGCACTTATCCCTGATTTCCACTTTGTATGGGTCGGATCTGCATTGTTATATTGTGTCTATTTCACAAGGCCTTGCTCTCGATCGTATGTGATTGTTATTGGCTGGTCAGTGCTATACTTGTTCTACTGTATACCCTAATACAAACATCCTGGTGATGACTATCTTTGACCTAGAATACCTCGAATAGGGCGGTAGATGGAATTCCATTCATGCCTTGCCTCATTACTCCTTTACTCCCAATACTACCGCACCATCCCGCAGATCTTATGCATGCCATGCCTGCTCGCAATCATGGACTATGGAGTATATATCCGTCGTCCATTCAGGCCCGATGGCGGGCTAACAGCTCAGGGATGATAAGACATGTCACATACCCAAGGCACAACCTCGTGCTGGAGATGGTTATCAACTAATCATCACTTACTGCCATTGTCCCGGTCCGTGAAAGTTACCTCGGCGTCAGACCTGCGTGAATAACCTCTGACAATGCCGTTGCGCATTCATACTGCACAGCCTCTTCCGCCGTATGGATCTCGCTGAGCACCGGCCGGAAGTGACAAGTAGCAATGGGTATACTTCGTAGCCCTTTGACGTCATGGAGATGTATGCAAAGCAGTGGGTCAACGGCGCGTACGGAGTACAGGTACCTTTACAGTACTCCCAGATACCCCGTTTTGAGAAGGTGCTGTACGGAGTAATACCAGGGAGGGCGGTGTATTTCTTCTGTATTTCTTCTTCTTGTTCTCCTTCGTTTCACGCTGGAATCTTGCATACATTGCTGATGTACCTCGGTGAGTAGTTGCAAGGCTCCCAACTCTATGGGAGGTGCTTAAAGTATGCTCACAGATGGGAGCCCATGAGACATGCCTACAATACCTGTAGCCCTATCAGTAGATAACTCACTTGATCCTTGCCGTTGCCCTTACCCCTGTACCTGTCCTAGGTTGTAGGTAGAGGAGTTTGATCCAGTTGCCGGGACAGGACAGATTCCCTGCTGGGATCACGGGGTGGGAATGTCCTTGCGGGAAATTTGGCGAAAGATAGGCGCCGGTCTACATATGTCTGAGGGATGCTAAATCTGATACGGATCTCAATGCACGAACATACGAAGTATAATGGTAGGGGACTTACGGGACAATCGATGGAGATATCCACCTCACTTTCTTGCTCAGTACCAAGTTGCGGACGCTCGAGAGCTCAACTGAGCTAGGGCTTTCTCGCCAATGAACTCTGCAGCCCACGACATTCTGGTTCTCTCGGAATCATTCAGCGTCACAGCTTTGTTTTTCCATGGACCAGGCTCGTGTATACGTTAGATTTAGCCGAGGAAGAACTATACGAGCGTTCTACGTCATTGCCTAGAAACAACCCCTCAGCAGCTACCCCGCATTATCCCACGAAACGACTTTCCTCGTTGACCTGGGTATCTTAGCTTGGAGTGCGACATGGCTGGCCAGGGGTGGTGATGGGGGAATGATTATTGCAGGAGAAACCTGGTTCATACAACCCCAATCTCGGTCGAGGCAGTGTGATGAGACGCCTGGTTGTCAAAGCGGGAGTCAGGAGTTAGGACTGATCGAGTGTCCACGGACCACGCCTCAATGCTCACCCCGTGGCCTTCTGCAGGTGAGGTTGCAGTATCAGTATGTGATAGTTGGTCTAGCCCTGCGGCGCGTCAAGGCAGCGATGTTTTGATGCCGCTTAGTGGCTTGAGACAACTCGGCGGAGGACTTTTGCATCCTGAATAGCGGTAGTTACCTGTTGACCATGTGTGATATGGGAGATAGAGAGATAACTATCTTCAGAGTACTCGCGCCTTGAAGTCATATCAGTAAGTCCCAACAACAGATAGGAGATCAACCTATGAAATGCCTCGGCTTGAAATCGATTGAAGACGACCGGCTCAGGCTGAGTCACAGCCACAGACCGGCTGCTGTATCCTCGATACGACCTGAAATAAATACATCCACCAGGAGCGGCTAGGAACGGGGGATCCTCAGGCTCAAACTTTTCTGGGGCTAATAATATCCGTAATATGCCCCACTGTAGCCCGTGGAACGAGGTGCAAATTACAGTCTTGGATTAAATGTGTATGCAAAAGTTGCTCTTGGACTTGGTGCCACACTGTTAACGGCCCATTCATAGTTTGTAGAGCACAGCTTTGGCAGGTGCTTCGCGCTCCATGGAGAAAGCCCTCGTGCCGTCCTCAAGTTGCGGTTCCTGTGGCGGAGAGCTCAAAGGCAGTCTAGTTCAGGAACCGCACACCGGGATGGTGGCCGTACTTTGGGAGTCTATACTTCGCAGTTGGCAAAACTTCGATCCTCCACGATGATTGTGGCCGCGGTCACCAGTGCAGAGGCAGCAAACCAGCCTTATGTGTGCCCCACGTGAGGTTCCTGGAGCTGGTCCGCCCCCAACTCTTTCAAGGGGGGCTTCCGGCCCGGGGCGCGCAGGGGCACAATATACTGCCTTCTTGGAGTGTAGAGGCATTCGCAACGTGGCTTGGATGCCTACAAATGTCACTCTTTGAGCACTTTCGTGAGGCCAGCGACAAATCTCAGGCAACAGCCAACAAGATGCCATAACTAGCTTACTGTAGATATGAGACGGGCTTGAGATAACTTGATATTGTCCAATGGCGCGCTTCCATGGCACACGAACGATTCTATATTTCTGTTCCTGCGTACGGGGTAGGTGCTGTTTCCTGTGTTGTGAGATTCATCGAGGCGTGATTAAAAATTGAGGCAATCATGTCCAGGATGCTTGAGGCCAACAACCGACAGCACGTTGTCGACCGTTTGATGAGAGGGCTCCAAGTAGCTGGATGCGGTGAAGGAAAGCAGAGCTTTGAGGGTTAGGCTATAGCCCATCCCATAGAAGGACTCACGGTGATCCCCCGAAAGTGTGGCTGACCGCTTCGGGTGATGTGGCCAGACACCGACCAGTCAGGTGCAACTTGATAATCCACACCCTGCCTAGGGCACATGTTTTGAGAGTGCATCCAGCGGTCCTGACTTCAGATTTTTACGGACAGTGAAGTCAACTCATTCGTGCCAGGATATAGCGTGTTCGCCTTTGATGGGATTCCATGAGCACCGAATGGTCTCTGTATAAGGCTGCCAATAATAATGTCAGTGACGACAGGGACGCTGACCTGCGCAGCTACCCCACTCAGCAGGGTCTTGGACTCTTCGATCGATCCAGGCCTGTGATTCAGGCCATGTGCATGAAGCAAAGTTTTCAAACTGTACGCCGGATACAGCTTAAGTGATAAAAAGAGCTGATACTTTGTTGTGGCCAACTATATCCGTAGCAGTACTCTGTAAAGCAGGCCGGCCAAAATTGATATGTGCTTCCAACCGGGCCGGGTCTAGCCCCGCTTGAACGGAGATCTTTGAAGGCCATGGCGAAGAACTTCAGGTGAACTGATAAGAAGCACTGCAAGGAACTCATACTCGAGAGAAAACCCCCTGGGCTCTGATCCAGACCATATGAGCGATTAACGTTGTCTTGATAAAGAAGCAGGCTGCCGATCTCCGCGCCCCTGGGCACAGTCTCTGAGTCTATCATGCCTTGTATCTGGCCCTTGAGTCAATGCGGGATGGCCCCAGGATGGCCCCAGGTACGGGATACCTTGGAGATTTGGCTCTGAGACGTTATGCATGCCAGTCAAGAAAATGCCTCATCTGAGACCGAATGGCGGAAAACAAAAATTTGGCGACCGCAATCGGCCACGGACTTTCTAAAACGGAGAGAATGCGTTTGTCTTGTCACAGGTTGCGCAAGATTGTAAGGCAGCACTTGTATAGACAACCCCTCATAAGCAGGCCCGGGAAGTTGATGCTGTTAGGGTGTTAGAGCTGCTGATACTCCGTAGAGGTTGTTGCAGTAATGCTCTCTGTCCGTACTCCATCAGCCTGAAAACTTTAAAAAATGGCAGTGCAGTACGGGGTCCGCGTAATTGCAACGAGCGAATCTGTTGGCTCACAGCCCCGAAACGGTCACCATACGGTTTCTAGACCCAGGCGCGGCCCTGGCATGGCGTCAGAGCACGTCACGCGCGGGCAGAGTGGGCCGTGGCAGCAACAAAGCGGTTAGGCGGCGTTTTATGGCCACCGGGTTTCGTACATGGCCGTAATTCTGGTTTTGCAGCTTCAAGTCATACATCATCTGCTGCTCCTGCTGCTCCTTTTGCTTTGCCCTTTCAATTTGTTTCAATTCTCCAGATCTCCTATACTGCCATTCTCGATACTCTTCCTCCACAATCTTATACTCACGTTTGCTGAGCTCTCGCATTGCTCTACCACTTGATAGCTTCTCTCTACCTTCCTCGGCTATCACAACTACTATATCTGTGACCAGTGTCTCTTCGGTGAGTGCATCTCTCGAGATTCCCCCTATATCACGCTTCAGAAACGTTCCCCAGAGTTGAAAGAATGTTGCTCCTGTTTTCAGCTGCTCCGCGGCGGACAGGGGCATCCTATTATTGGCTTTCTTTATCTTATCTATAGGACAATGCCCTGTTTGCACCTGGCCTATGCAGTTTCCCCTCCTCGTGCTCGTTTCGGGGAATTTGAAGCCAAAGCCTATTTCATATTGGCCCAGATAAAGGACTGGCAAGCTCTGCAATTCATTCTGATTGTGTTGTTGCGGGCATTCCTCCTATACCTCGTCTAGTGCCAATCGTCAAACTGCCACGCAGCCTTTCAATTGCTGGACAGTGCCCGATAAGCTAACCAGTGCTCAGTTCTAGCTCCGCTCGATTGACTTCACATACAAATTCATAATGACAACGCAAACGGGCCCCGTCATACCCCCTCGGCCAGCGAGGTCACCTCTTGAAAAGTCCGCAGACATGCCGAAGATACCTCCCCGTCCTACCCAGCGCATTGATCGCACTGCGTCCCCCATGGGCTCAAATTACGCACCCTCTCCTTTAAATGAGCCTCCAAACGGATCGACCTTGTCCAAAACTGTTTCCAATGATTTGCCCTCTCGCCCACCTAGTGTGGCGATACCATCGCTCGGCGAAGAAGGCATTGAGTACCAGGATTTGGATGCCCTGAACGCTTCGGACAGCCAACATACTGCCCCCGCGGAGACCCGGAATGTGGCTAGCGATCTGAAGCTCCATGCGCCTCGACCTTCTCTTCCCACCTCTAGCGCCAAGGCCAAGGTGCAGGCCGTCACCCGCACGGATTCCAGCCAGGCTGCAGCTGCAGGGTTTGGAACGATAGGCTCAGCGGAGCAGGATGAGCAGTCGGAAAGACCCGTCAGATCCATTTACTCTGTCCAAGGTTCGCGAGCGGCCTCCTCGACGACATCTTTCGAGCGCCCACACTCAATTCATGATGAGGAGCATGGTATTCCCGAGATTGGTCAGCGAGTTCCAATGTTAGCCAATGCCGGTGATGTACAAGCTCCTTCTCCCAGCCCTTACCTGGAGCAGCCAAGTTCGCGGTCTGGACGCGGTCACCACCGAACTCGCAGTGGTCGCGAGGCTTCCCTGCCTCCGGGTAGCTACGGCCTACATGGACATGGTGTGCCCTCCAACGACAAGTTCGAGAAGGCCTGGTATGAGAAGCATCCAGATGAATATGTCAAGGAGGAACAAGGACAGTACGGATCCGGCGTGGGTACGCCACGACCCGATTGGGCTTTGAGTAGCGATGATTTGAACAAGATCGTTCTCGGCTCCGCCATAACTGGTTCAGGACTAGGTGAGTCTACATAATTGCGATATATGGTGGGGTTGTGCTAACGAAAGTTCAAGGGACGTCTCCTGCCATTACCGGTACACCAGAAGAGGAGGTCGGATACCTCGCATCTGATGAATACAGCCATCGCCTTACATCTCCTCCGCCAGACTCAAAACGTGACTCCCGTCCTGCTATTGAGTCCCCTCTAAAGAATGCAAGCGTTCCGGCAGTAGACGCGGGTGAACAGAGTAAGGAAAAGCCTAGCTTTATCCACATTGACGAGCCGTATCACCACCGCGACCACCCTGATGGTTTCGCTCATACGCCAGATCCGGAAGAAATCGCTAGCCGGGCACAGGGAGAAGATGATGAAGAGCCGATTCTAGCTGCTGATGAAGTGCGCCCTGAATCTGCTTATCTGCACGCTGCAGTGTCCCCTACTTTCAGCCGGAGGGAAAGCCATGATTACGAAGGCCGGAGTCGGACTCCTAGCGTCAACGAGAGTCGCTCGAATAGCAGAAATGCCACCCGTCGTGGCAGTACTCCTGCTCTAGCCAGGTACAACTCTCATGAAGATCACGCGCCCCTCGAAGATGTCGAGGAGTACGAGCCGCTATTCCCCGAAAATGAGTCGAAAGAGAACAACCCCATGTCCGCAGCGGAACGCTTCAAGAAGCGCCCAGACATGCTTAAGCACCGATTCCCAAGTGAAGATATTTGGGAAGACTCGCCCAACAGTCACCAGCTTCTTACCACCGTATCCACACCGGATATTCCCAAGGAAAGCCGCTTCGAGCTCCCGGAGCAAGAGGAGGCGCGTAAAAGTCGTGAACCCAGTATCGACAGCCACCAGGTTGCGCAGCGTATCTTGAATGGAGAAGAGCCGACGGCCTCCCGCCCGGGTCTCGCAAAACAGAGGTTCCCTAGTCGGGATATTTGGGAGGATGCTCCGGAGAGTCAAACGCTTGTGACTACGATAGAGCCTTCAGAAGAGAAGCAGGCCACGAGCCCGGATGTGCCATCCAAACCAACCATCCCAGCCCGCCCTGAGAAGAAACAGCCTCCTCAAGTGGATGCCTCGACGAAACCGACCTCTCCTGTGGAGAAGCGACAGCCACCCGTTATCCCTGACAGACCCAAGCCTCAGATTCCTGCACGACCAGCAAACCGCTTCTCGCGATCGAATGGTGAAGAGGCACAGGACGCGTCCGTCAAATCAAAACCAGCTGTCCCGGCTCGCCCAATGGGAGGCAAAATCGCTTCTATCAAGGCGGGCTTCCTCTCCGACCTGAACTCCCGTCTGCAACTTGGCCCGCAAGCACCTCCAAAACCTCAACCAAAGCAAGAAACCCCCGCTGAAAAGGGTCCGTTAAGTGACGCTCGAAAGGGCCGAGCTCGTGGACCCGCACGGAGAAAGCCTGCTGTCGAGAGCACCAGCCCCAGACTGCCGACCATCCCCGAGATCAAGATCACAGAGACATGGAACGTTTGGGAAGTTCGTGAGGACGGCAAGCTAGTTGTCGGTGACGGTAACAAGGGCGAGCAGTCTAGCACAACCTCGACCTCATCAGATCCCTCGGGTTGGAACACCCCGATGGCACCGCCCTTGGCTCGAAACATGTCAGGTGGTGCAGTCGATCCCCCAAGACAGCCCGTGAAAGAACAAGTTCCCGAGTCAACGCCTACAAATACAATTCCCGAGTCAGAACCAGAGCCCGCGGAGGCGGAACCTACCAAGGAAGAAGAACTATCATCTACCATACCAGGTGGCTTTGACTCCTCGGAGGAAAAGGTCGCGATACCCTCCGCCGTCTCAGATGACAAGGTCGAAACTGTTCCTGAATCGTCAGAAAAGCCAGTGGATATTCCCTCCGCTGTCTCAGGCGACAAGGTCGAGGCCGTCTCTGAGTCTCTAGCTGTCGCCGCCGATGGCAAGAGACCTTCCGACGGCGACGACGCTCTTTCGGCATGACGCGTCTTGTTGATTCCGTCTTCTTTCTTCTATCTTGTACTCTGTCTGTCTTTGTCCGTCGTACCCATGTCTCTCTTTTATTAGCCTTCTATCACGAGGGAATGTATCTAGCCTACCCCGAATAAGTGTCTCGCTGCGTGCTGCAAGTACTGCGCACTCCATTTAACCAAATCATGACCCGAGTTTGACTCTTACCTTCATGCTTTGGCCTTGACGCGAGCCCTTGGTTGTATACTGTATGCGAAGCAAAAATATCCAGTCCAGATTAAAATGGCTTAACGGCCTCACAGGGGTTGGGTCTGGCGGCCTGGCCCTGGCGTATTCGGATTGGAGATTTCTATTGACCCCCGGCCATGTGGGCATGCTGCATGGGGGCTTGAGGGTCTAATTGGTCAAGATCGCATGCCTCTTTGTAGATGGACTGGTCTACGTATCTAAACTCGTGCGCTATGGGGCAAATCAAAGCATGATATTTCATCTCAATTTGGTCATGGTTTCCTGATTTAACTGCGCGGCTTAACTGCGCGATGCCTCTAGGACATACAAACGCCAGAACTAAAAAACTGGAAAAGGACGATGAAAGGTATGAAGGCGCAGACGGAGGGACGAGCCTCTATCCTGGCCTAGATCCATGCTTTTATTTCTTTTTTTGACATTTGGGTATCTTCGATAAGAATGATCTGAGTAGATCGCAAAAATTCTAGCTAGCAAATAAAACCGGATAAATAGGCAGATTGGGGAAGAATAGAATGAGATGGGCCTGAGATCATAGGACCAGGGTGGTAGTGGCAGCCATCAACGGCTCGGCTCGAATGAGAGAACAAATTAACTGAGAGGAAGGTTCTTCAGCGCTCCCTTTCCATCTTTGATCCATTCTTGGTCAACAAGGCTCTCACGCTCGGTGTAGAGTTGCTTGTAAGCGCCGCGGATTGTGCCGTCGCTGACGTGAGCGACTTGCGAGATTTCCTTTGCGGACTTGGGGTGGCCCATGAGGTATGAGGCCATGTAAATGCACGCCGCGACAATGGAAAGTGGCGAGCGTCCGGCAAGATTTCCCTCTGTAGTTACGCGATCCGACAGTGCCGACGATACGCTCGTAACTTGGAAAGGCAGATCCAAAAGGTTGCAGAAACGGCTGCAGAGGTCGCTGGGCTTGGTAGAGGTGGTTGCAGTGTAGGCGTCGTTAGGGTCGGGAACGCCCCCGTTCGACACAACCGCATTAGCCCGCTCGAGGTTCTGGCTAGTAAAGAACTTCTCCAGAGCCTTGTAGATACGTCCGATTTCCTTCCTTGAAACCTTGGTGACAGCGAAGATCTCAGTGAAGGTACGAGGAACTTTGCACTTGCGGCAGGCGATGAAGATACATCCGGCGATGATAACGTCCTGCGATTTTCCCTTGAAGGCCTTTGCGTCGTCAACGATCTTGAACAAATATTTCGCAGTGTCTGCCACGTTTTTCTGTATGTTGAATCCATCACAGAGTGCACCAATCTCCTTGTATGCAGCGAGCAGGGACTTGTTCGCCTTGTCGCTCGACTGCTTGTTTTGCGCACGGTATAAGTCGCGAACCCGGCCGGAACCACCACTGGCAATTTGTGTCTCCAACTGATCGCCATTCAGAAGCGGATTTGTAGCATCACCAACACGCGACGGATCATCGTTGTTTTGGTCATCGTTCGAAAAGGTACGCCATTCAGAGTGCATGTCAATCTCTCGATCCGCAAGAACCAAACCACAGGAGCCGCAAACCGTCTCGTGAGAGCCGGGGAATTCCAGATTCGGGGGCACTTCTTTGCACTCGGGGCAGATGACATGGGCGGATAAATTCTTCCTCCACGGCGTCCCACCCTCTTGAAGAGCTGCACCAGAGATAGCGGCCATTTTCTTAAGCGGTCTGACTTCCTTCGATTCTTCGCGGGGCGGTTTTGACAGTTTCGACTTCTTGACCGAAAGCTTATTCTTGCGGGCGCAAAAACGAATGAACAGTGGCGAATACAGGTTGGCGATTATAATCCGTCAACGAAGGAGAATCGAGTAGCTCGTTCTCGGTAGTAGTAAAGAATGAGATGGGACCAGCGTCGCAAATATCGAGAACTTGTCTTTCAAGTCACGTCTCTGCGGCACTGTCTTTTGTCATGTCAGCTCAAAGCCTAAGCGATATGAAGACGATGGAAATAATCTGGTGGATTATGATGGAACAAAGCCTCATAGTAGCAGACAAAGACCATGACTTGAAACCATATTGCCACCTGGATGGTGCTTTTCCACCTCTCTGAAGCACTGGAGCCTCAAATAGATGTGAACAAAGAGCAGGATGTCAGGCTGTTCAAGTGATGCTTTACCTTTCCGGAACTGAGACTGGTTTCGAGAACCAGAAAGCACCTAAGCGGAAGCACACAAGAGGAGGTCTGCGAGATGACTCCAAAGAGCCTTCGAAGCCTTGAAACCAGACTTCTCCGACCGCGATAAAACCAGTCAAGGTCTCCGTGAGTGAGCGATATCTCACGAAAAAAGGGTCACAGAATCTGAGATGCTGCTGCAATCGAGTTCGTACGAAAGCGGCAACAGCGAAGCTTCAAGACAAGAAAGGCCGTGCGAGACAGCAAAATGGTGCGAGGGGTTGGAGGAGGGAAGAGGTGGAGGTGAGGTGAAGGTGTTGAAGAGTCACTCTTAGTGCTAAGATGCAGAGCCGCAGCCCGCGCTGAGTCATCCGCCAAGCCGAAGACTCCCGAGCAAACGTCCAACCTCCAACTTCGGCTTCACGGATGAAAGCATTCCTGTTCTCGCAGATTCTATCCTTGAGTCCTCTCATCTACACTCCCGCCACGATGATGTCTCAGTCTCTCAGGGCCTCGGTACGTCCTTTCCTGAACTGCTATACCCGGCCTCTTAGCTCGGTCTGTGTTGCTAACTCCTTTCGTAGTCCTCCCTCTTTGCCCGTGTCGCCCGGCAGCAGGCCCCCTCTGTCGCTCGCCGCACCTTCCTGACCTCCGCTGTCCGTCGCGGTATGTGCATCACCCTCTTATTACACGGACCCATCAATTGCCCAACGTATAATCGGCGCAGTTGGGGCTCCCGCGGCAAGCCAACAAATTCTAACATCCTACAGCCGACCCTGTCCAGGATCTCTACCTCCGCGAGCTCCGCGCCTACAAGCCTACTCCCATCAAGCCCGGCGATGCTGATGCCCACGTCCAGAAGTTCAGCGCTCCCGCTGCCCCCAAGTCTCCCGAAGAGGCCAACCTCGCCAACGAGCTGAGCTCCTACGAGTCCCAGGAGGTCGATGTCGAGGGTCAGGCCGCTACTGGCGAGTCCGCTCCCGCTGAGGAGAGCTGGTTTGAGGAGGATGAGGACGACTCTCATGCCGCTCACTAATTTCTTTTATACTGTTAGAGAGCAAGGTCCAGGAGGTGGACCGATAGAGGGATTGAGACTCGATGATGTCTCCTGCTGAGCTCTAAAGAAACTCTGTAAATTAAACCTACTTGGAGCATATGAAATTTCCTTGAGTTGTCATATCCATTGGCCCATACCCAAAGTAGAGCAATCCCGATGTCGGCCTGGGGTTGTTTGGGCGGGTGGGGGTTTTTGATATTGACAGATTTGACAGCACTCCCACTATCTTTCAATGCCCGACTCAAACTAATCGCGCGCCCAGTTAAATTGGCAGTGGCGTGAGATTACAGGGTTCGAGGTGAGTTACAATGACTTAATTGTACGACACGCTGTAGTCATCACGCCGCTCATAACGGAGATCTGTAACCCCAGTGTCCTAAAATAATCCGCCGAACAAAAGAAGCAGCAATGTACTGGTTCGTGTACGGGAAATTGTACCACTTGAGTTGAAAGTAGGGATTTCTATACTATCAAGGGCAAAGCCAAGCTAGCGATGTATGGCTGCTCCAGAGCTACAGGGCTGCGTAGGCCGCTAGGCATCCCTTTTCCGCCAGCGCCTTCACTATTTCGGGTAGTCGAGAACCTCACTCCGCATTCCTGCGCGATGATGCATGTGTAGTCTACCCGGCTCCGTTGGGCCAACCCCAAGTGAACTAGTACAACGCCGAATTGACCTCTCGGAGTGGTGACAAGTGGTACTGGAGAACACCAAGAACGAGTTAAGCCAGGACAGACCGATTGAAGACGCGGGGACACCCGTCAAGCAAACCAAATAGCTCGGCTTGAGTAGGTCGACTTGAGTTCGTGGGAAAGGCCGGATAGGTTGATGGAATGTTGTTGGTCGTCCGGTACACAGCAGGAGGTATGTAGTCACGCACCGGGAGCCTGTACAACATTCTCGGAAAGCAGGCGGTACGTATTGAGGCGTCATCTGGGCATCAAGTATAGAGCCATTTTTGGGTAGCCCGACGGACAAGACGTGTGATGGGTCAGAATTGGCGCAGATTGGGTTGAGTTTTGAGTTTCTTGGGCGAAATGAAGCGGCTGGATAGCAACTACGCCAGCAACCAATGCGTTGTTTGCGTGGTTTCCGCAGCAATTGCAACTCCTTGATCCAAAAAGCAAGATGACAGCTTGGAGGTACTGAAGACAAAGTAATACCGATCCTAAGGACAGGGAGGTAGAGTAGTAGCGATGTACTGCGCATGATCAGCTCAAACGCCTGTAGGAGGTTGATTCCTCGGGAACGTACGGGGGCATCTGCAGGTGAAGTCGTAGTTACACTTGCCCTGCAAGCAAGACTGTACTCTTATTATGATCCTTGCAGCTGGATCATGCCCAAGTACTCGAACAACCTCATTCTCGTCGAGTCAGTCAGTCAGTTGTAGGAGAGTTAAACTACTCCCTGCCTCCGGTAATTCCTGTTCCAGTACATTACAAATACCAGTGCTACTAGTAGACTCGAAGCTATTGAGTAGCGCAGTCGAAATAATGCGACAATCATAATGGGTCTCAAAGCATGTCTTTCTTCTCAGCGACTATATTATTCTACGACTGGAGGAAGAAGCTCTCCACAGCGCCAGGCCGACATCAATAGTGTTTGTCTGGTGGCGGTGACCTTCACAGCCATCGGATTTAGATCTCCCCAGATCTGACCAAAAAACGAAGCAGGTCGGTCAACCCGTGGCTGTCCCAGCATCTATTTATACTGGACAGGCCCTAAATCCTCTTCTCCTTGATCGACTCCTCCTGCCTCTGGCTCTGGTCAGCAGTCAGCTACGGCATCGGCAACGGCGTCGCTCAAGGTACGTAAAGTATCGGTAATACGCTTATCGATACCCGATTTGGTTTCTTTGTTTCCCTTTCTTTCTCCGGCGACTTCATTCCATTCGTTCAGCTCCTTGTCTTTGAAAGGAAAGGCGGACACAGAAGAAGGAGAGGAGGGAGAATCCTTTGTTCGATCTCAATCTCACCCCTGCTGCCCTGCTGCTGCTACTAATCAATTCATCGTTCCTCCGCTGTCGATCAACCGCACGCCTCCCAAGGCTACGCTGCCTTTGCTCCAACAGCTAACCCTCTCCGTCCCTAGCCCGCAAACAGCCCGCGATTTTTTGAAGCCTCGAGTCTTAATACCCCAGGAATCGGCTTCAGCCCCTCGTTGTTCGCCAAGTGCTGTGCCCTCTTTATCTGTCGTGGTCGCCTCTTGGTTCTGTTTGCGCCGCTCCTTGCCCTGCACTGCCATCGCTCCAGTGACCACCTTCCGAGCCCTTTCTCGAGTACCCCCGTCCTGTTGTCGCCTAGCGGGCTCAATGGTTTCCGACGGTGCCCGCCTGCACATGCAATAGTCCCATTCGCCATCGGTTGTTTTACATGGAGGAGCTGGTCTCATCAGAGTCAGCAACAGCTACTGTCCACCCCCGGCCGGGGGGGTGAGCAACACCTCTCCAGCAGCGCTTCCCGCGGAACTGCAGACAGCATTCACCATTCCTGACCATGTCTCCTCCTGACCTCGAGGTCGCGACCACCCACCAGGATGACCAGAACAGTCAGTTATCCCGTGCCGCGAGCTACAACAACCTTCCCGACCTAACTGCGTCCGAACCGGGCTCCCCTGGGCTTCGAAGGACTTTCTCCGACTTGACGTTTCAAAAACAGCCCGAGTCGCCTTCAAAGGAAGATGTCGCGGCTGGGAAGGACATCTTGAGGCGGACTTCTCTCCGCCGCTCCAAGCACAAATCGACCGTCGCTGTCTCTCGCTTTACCGTTTCAACCGAAGACTTGACCGATGCGTCGGCCACAGAGTCTTCGGATGCCCCGCCGAAGATCCCGCAGACTAGGGCACCATCACCTGTTGCTCGCCCCTCTAAGGCTCGTTCAATGTCTGGGAGACTTGTTAGTTTCGCGCGAAAGCCCTGGATGTCAAGCTCTCCTACCCGATCTACCTCTCCTTCCTCAAAAACTGCTCGTCTCCGGACCCTCCAGGGCGAGGACTCTGCTTCGCAGACTCCATCGTCCAGAAGCTCTGGGAGCTTGGATTTGGCGACTGGCCCGGAACCTGCTGTTCCAACCCGCAAGCGAACAATATTAACCAAACGCCCTCGACGCCCGATGGTCGCCGTTGTAACTCAAAGCCGAGCGGACAGTCCGAGCACCCCTAGCAGCCCGTCACCAGGCTCCCTGCTAGCTAAGGGGTCTCTTGAGAGGCTCACGTCATCTTTCAACGTTTCGACTCCAGTACTTCCCCCAGCGGCAAAGACGACCTCATTCCCTGGGAATATCTCTGGAAACCTGGACCCTCCCAAAAAGAGAGATGAACTTTGGAGCGCTTTCCGTGGTCTTGAAGCCGACTTTCAGAAGTATGTAGCTAACGTATATATTGTCTTCGATTGCTAATGTTCCGCCAGATTTCAGACCAAGTCTACAGCACTGAAAGCGAATGTTATTCGCTCCTCGCTCCTGCCACTTCTCAATCGGGCACATTCTCCGCAGAGTATTAGAGCTTTGAGACCCGAAGATCTGGATCGACGAGTAAACATACTCAATAAATGGTGGATCGGATTGCTAGACATGCTAAACGGGAAGAATAATCAAGCCATTTCTGGTACGGACAGGCCAGTATATCTGGAAGCAGTGGTGGGCATAATGTCTCGACCGGAATGGAGGATCCCGTTTCCAGCGCAATCACCAGATACGCCGCCATCCAAGCCATACAAGCACACGGCGACGTCTATCTCAGAATCATCCGAAGCATCCTCTGGATCGGACATCCTTGTGGAGTCTATCCATCATAACATCAGGAACATATTCACGCAAAATTTGTTGTCTCAGATGGCGTTTGTGGTCGAGAGGATGTCCATGAGGCACGCCCCTGCTAGTTTGGTGGCGTTCTGTGGTAAAGCCTGTGCTTACGCATACTTCTTTTGTCCAGGCGTGGCAGAAATGCTTGTGAGGCTGTGGAATATACCAGCAAACATCTATCGGCGGGTATACGCCGAGTCTCACGTGGATAAGAGCACTGGACTCCGTGCGACGGCTCAGGAACTCACGTCAAATTTCCCTCCAGGCCTACGCTCTTTATCCTTTCACGCACACACGGCATTGGTTCGGTATCTTCGTCAGAAGCCCGAGGTCCCTCTGAACATAAATCAGATCAAGTGGCAAAGTCCCTGGGTGTCTCGGTGGTGCGGCAGAGACACGGATCTTTTTTACGTTTTCGTCAAATACATCCATCTACTGTACGCAGATTCCATTCCGTCTTATATCGAGAAGAGCGCGCGCATCCTATCGCCTGGCTTGCTTCCCATTCACGCCCAAATTCTTGTCGTTCTGGAGGATACCCTATACAAGCAATCGCAAAATCAAGCGCCAGAAAGTTCTCATAATACCGCCGCTATCACTTTCGATGATTTCATTGAAGGTGCCGAGGGTTCGGCCTCGGCTCTTCCATTGGGCACCGCCAACAGTCATCGTTCCATGGCCGAGAACCGCTTGATTATACTGCTCCGAGATTATCTTTCCGATTCATCGCTTGAGCCACATCATGCACGTTTATTCTACGCCGAATCCTTCTGCATGATCATGAAAACAACTGCGCAGCGAACATCTCTCTTTGATCACAATGCGTGTTTCCTGCTATGCGATTTTGTCGAGGAAGCTATCCCTATCATTGCACGATATTCAAGGTCAATCGAAATGGACCTGTTTGACTGGAAGTTTTGGCTCGAAGCATGTCGTCAGATGATGCAAAGCCATAACTCGCTCACTGAGGTCCGGGTGTTTTCTTTTCTCTTCTGCATCTGGGGTACCTGGACCGCCTCCGAGGAACGAAAGGCGGATCTCTGCCTCGGATTTCTCCTTGATGAGCCACTGTTCTATCATTACTTCAGTCACTGGAGTCCTATGGTCCGCGCCTATTTCCACCGCTTGCTTTGTTGGCGGCTAGGCAGGTTCAATGGAGATCCATCGCCACTTGACTCGTAAGTCACCGATACCTTACAGTCTGGTGAGTACTAATGGGTTTAGGATAATATACGAAACTCTGTCCAATAGACTTCAGCGTCTCTGGGATTTTTACATCGCCACTCAAACGAAAGCGGAAGCCGGCCTTGCAGCGCCACTGTCTTCTGCGCCCTGCACCCCGGCACCGGGGCGCCGAATAATAATAATTCGATGTGATAATCCAATGTCACCTTCAAATCTCTTCATGTCTTTTGATCGTGTTCTGCCTCCGTCAGTCCCCAAGCAAGCTACGAATAGTAATGGCTCCAAGGCAGATGGTCTTTCCGAAGCTCAGAATCTCCCAAAAAAGCGATGGAACATTCTGAAAGCCGTTTTCGGTGCTTCCAAATTCAACGACGATCTATCTCCTACTACCAGCTCAGACGATTCGGATACGACGGTGTCCGACCCTCCTGCCGCTGGGGAGAAAGGCCCAGACGTCAGTTGGCTAGGTGTTAATGCTCCTAGCGAACCGCAGAGGCCAAAAACTCCGCATCAACCCTTCACATTCAAGTTCTCCTTGGAGTGGATGGATCGACCGCAGTGGCCTAGCAAAAACAAACGCCTTTACACTCCTTCTCTCCCTGTAGCTTCGCAATTGCACTTGCAGCTTCGGAGATCAACCCTCAAGTCAGAAGACAGCGATGCGACCTCGGATGACACAACTGATTCTGGGGCAGAAGAGAATCCTGAAAAAGGCACGCCCGGGTTGGACATGAAGCAGAACGTGACCGGTATCGATGTGGAAACCAAGAAAACCTCGAAGAAGAATGATCTGACTGCTGCTGCCGATGATAAAATCGCGTCTAGCAAGTACGCAGGGCGTGCTCTTGCAGAATGGGCACAAATCATATCTGAGTGCGATAGTTTCTTCTCCCGGAGACGCGATGAAGGCGTGCCGAACGACCGCATGGTTGAGACCCCTACACTAGGCGTTGAGGGCTTCCGAAAGTGATCGAACTGGACAATAATTCCAGGGCATGATAGCACCATTCCTCCAGCCTCCTTGAGCACTGAAGCTCATCAAACACCGCCCAACAGGCCGCTGACTCCTCATTTCCGTAACTAACCTTCTTGTCACTCCCTTCTCCCTTCTACTCCTTTAACCAGTGGTATTTGCGACGTTATCACTGGGAAACATGAAGCGGACATTCTCCTTTACACCGGGCTGGGCCGAGCAAAGCATCTAATGCTACTGATCGTCATCTCAATCTTCTTTCCTTGCCTCATAATAACCACTCTACCTCATCCGCGCCCATCAGCCATGGTCTTTATCTACCAAGGACCCGTCTGTCCCTCCCTCTTCCTTTCACTCCTGTATATACATCTGTCCGATACATACCATATCATACCGCCTGGCGTACCGCGCGAGTAAAGGCTCCCTTTTTTTCTTCTTCTTCCTTAAGTTTCCTTTATCTAGTCAATCCATACACGGGCATGAGTTCAATAGGGGCGTTAAGACCAGAGTAGGTCCTTGGGAGCTTTTGGTTGCATTGCGTGTTATTTTCTGTCCTATCCTGACCATGTTTCTTGACGCAGGTGTGTCTCTGTTCCTTGCTATCATATCCTAATATCTAATTATACGTCCTGGTGGGGTGGCATAGCAAGAGGGCCGTGGGTAATGATAATTACGGTGGATGTAGGATATAGCAATGAATGGACGAGATTTTAGTACACTTTGTTTATTTCCTTTTCTTCTCTCTGTTTGGACGGGTAGCTTATTACTTCTCGCATACAAACAAGCTACATGTGTATTGTAGCCGCTGACTCCGGGCTTCGGAAGGTAGGATGTGATGGAATTATAACGGTATAAGTTAGGTAGATAGGCAACGAGGACTAGCTTATAGGTATACACAACTGGAAATAGGGAGCAAATATCGGTGGATATCTGCAGGTAGAGTACAGTGCGGTGTAAGGCACAGAAAGCGTTTAGGCATATCTGCTAGGCAGAATCCGACACGCGTTGACGGTGAGTTAGGTAAAGAGGTTAGTACGGATAGGACGCAAGAAGAGCGAGCCAAATCAAGCTTTTGTTTCAGCTGTTGATGCGTTTGGAGCGAGTAGTAACCGGTGGGGAAGGACTGAGGAAATTGCATGGGGTAGCTTATGAACAAGCATAAAAATGATAAGTTTGTCTGGTGAAAATGAGAAAGCTATGTATAGCATAGGAGTAAGAAAGGTGATGGGTGTAATATATATACCGCGAGTAAGAGGCAAGGATAAGGTAAGGTAGAGTAGGTAGGTAGAGATAGGTCTAGTTAGAAATAAGTAGTCGAATAGATAAACCCCCTAGGGATGATATATGCAAAAGGCGCAGTCGCTGGCTGGAAGGAAGAGTAGATATATACGAGGACAGGAATGCGGAGAAAGAGATCGAGATCAATCGTCATGTAATAACTTGTCGCCCGCGTCGATGATAAGACCGGCAATACGGTCGACCCATTCCTGCGTCAGGGTCCAGTTCCTCGTTTCGAGGCTGTCTTGGATAGCTGGAAAGATGGCTGCGTCATAGCCGGACCAGAGCTGAGGGCCAAAGACGACGTGCTTGAATTGCGTGCGGTTGGGTATCTGATGATCTTGTTAGTTGGTTATATCAAGGACTGATGTGAGATGTAAACTTACTCCGCCGCCATATCGATCATCCAGCAGGTGGACGTCGAGCTTAGCCATCCGGAAATTGTGCGACATGCGCTGCAGCGCTATGATATTGTTCTCAAAACCGCCGGCTCCCCATACGGCGTCGTGCCACAATTTCGGCCACAGCTGGAACTGCGCTGCGTCCGCTCGAAGTTTCGAGGTGGCGTTATACAGGGGCGACAGGTTAACGGAGGAATCTCCTGATGCGTTGTTGTCAATGGGCACATTCTTGGATTTTGCGTAGCTTTCCAGGTCAATGACATAACCGGCCAGATGCTCTGCGTAGACCTCCACGTCGTACGGTAAAATCGGGTTGTCCGCAAACTGGAGAAGCAGCAAGCCCCAGAATTGGCCCAGAATCTTGTGATACTGGAATCCAGGGTCTCCAAACTTTACCATCCAGTCAAAGTTCTCGTGGCAACTATGGTAGGGAAATGGCTCTCCGGTGAATCCAAAGTCTATACTGGAGATTCCAGCAAGATCTTGGAAAGCGACATAATCACTTCCAGCTCCTAGAGGTGCAAATCGCTTGTTCTTCTGTAACCAAATGTCTTTCAAGGTCTCATTTGTGACGGGATCCGAAATCCGGCCTAAAACTTGCATGACAACGCGCTCGTAAAGAGGGCATCCAGACGCTTCGAAGTCCGTGCCACTCACACCGACGTCAACATTGATATACGCGTAAGCATTTCCGTGGAGATTGTCCATAGCATCCTCCACATGCTCCGTAGAACCGATCAAGTTATATTCCTCTGCATCCCAGCTGGCAAACTCGATCGTGCGTAATGGTCGCCAGCCAAATGTTAGGAGTTCGCCAAAGACACGTACAAGCTCCAAGAAAACAGCGGTCCCACTGCCTGGGTCTGCGCTTCCCAAACACCAAGAGTCGCGATGGTTGCCGACAATGATCTTCTTTTCCGGCTCTTCAATCCCGTGAATCCTTCCTATAACATTGTAAATAGGCTGTCGGTCCACTTCATCCTGAATATTCATCAAATTCACGATAGGCGATTTGTCGTCGCCTGTCCACCATTGCTTGACCTTGGGAACGCCGCCAACCCACTCCTTCGGTACCTTTGAGCCATGGCCCTCGAGCACCTGCAAAAGCCTTTGAGCGTCGCGCCAAGCTAAAGGGAGACTAGGAATACCCGGCATGCCTGTTGTCTGCTCGAGACTTAACCTCGTTTTCATTTTCGGCGTTGACGCAAATCCTGGAGAGAGGACATCCCCAACCACGTACGACATTTGGCTCACGGCGCCTCTTTGGACGCCATCAGCGGGCATATAGCGACCCTTCGGGTATGCCGGGCCTCGTACAAACCCATCATTCGACGGGTCGGAGTAGATAATACAGCCCGCCGCACCGGCAAGCTCAGCGGCTTTGACCTTCAGAGCGCGATCTGACTCGGTCCCATAGTACCGAACAAGAGCGATGGAGCCCTTGAGATTGATCCCTTGGTCCTCCAAATGTTGAAAATCTGCCCGAGATCCATAGTTTGCATAAATGAGGTGACCCGTGACATTCCCCGATTTCGAGTGCCCGTGGAATACCGGTGTCTCGCCGTCCTTTTCCTCAAGAATAGCCTCCCACTTAAGATCTGGCGGATCAACAATGGCTATGCGCCGTCCATCCTCCTTCGGGTAATTCAGATACACTTCGTACTCCTCCATTTCGATCGTCTCCAAGCCTGCGAGCTCAAATTCTCCCTGTATCCATTCCGCAAGCACGTAGCTTCCCTCGGTACCCGCCATGTGTGGGAACTCCGTTATCCTCCTCAGGTTTTCCGCGATATTAGTCTCGTTGATATGGCCCTGGACAAAATTCTCCACTGATGCCGCGCTATAAGTCTGGCCCATCATGAATCGTGAATTGAAGTTAAAGATATCCGAGACAACGAAGAGGTATATGATGGCGACGACAAGTAATAACCCAAACAAGCGAAGCATGATGATGCATCCATTGTTATTGAAGCTCGTCCGGGCTGAGTTCAGGTTAATGGTGAATTTGAAATTAGGTAGGAACCGACGAAAGGGCAGATGTATCGACGATAGCGTCCTGCTCAGATTACTGAACGGTTTTGATAGCCGAGACCGTAATCGCGAACGTGAGCTTTGTTGGCTGCCATCTTCAACATCCATCTGATCGAGCTCCCCGCGCAACTCCTCCAGCGAACCCCTTTCCGAAGCGGCAGGTGAAGAGTATAGGTCATCGACGCTATTCCGAGCAGACTCGACGGTAGGAGGGTGGTAGCCGTGAGGTCGGGACTGAGGCCCGTCGCGGGCAGCGGCCTCACGGGCATCGTGAAGCAGGGCCTGGCCTTCCGTGGCCGGATCGTCGGTCACATCGCCAGCGAGATGGGTTCGGGACGAGCTTGGGCGGTCGGCGGTGGCCTCCTCGTAGGATGGGATCGGTAGGGAATCATAATCGTATTTTTGGTCTCTAGTCATGACGAATGATTCAAGGCTTCAAAGAGCCTTGCGTGTTAGACAGGGAGTCGGGGAGTCGGGGTCGGCGCAGCGGGTCATGATCTGGGGAAAGGAACGACTAGCATAGACATGCTCCCAGTGACGGAACGGTCAAAGCAGAACCAACAGAATAAAGAATGATTGGCGCAATGAAGAGAAGGGGCCGGTCGAGTGTTCTCGCCGTCGTAGTGGACGGGAAGAGTCGATTACGGGTGAGGTGAAGTGAGGGAGAGCAAAGCCACTTGGTTGATTGGCGTGCATTGGCATTTGGCATCCCAAGCACTCGCCGGCGAGTCTCAGAACTCACGCGTGGCGCAGTCGTTTCCGACAGACCCACTGACACTATCAGGCAGAAGTTTGAGAGTGCTTCAGGATCTAGGGATTATTAAGGAGAAGTTGAGGCTTTTGACTGGCAATTCCAGTGCAATTCCAGGTCAGTCACTACAGGACTCAATATATGGTACAGTCCTGAGGCAACTCTTTGCAGAAGGCTCCCTAATTCCATGGCAAAGAGTGCATATCAAGAATCAGACCCGTCACCGCGAATTAAAGCAATAAAGGTGGCCAGGGTCTGATTCAATCAACGCAGGCTGCGTTTGAGCATAGATCACGCAGGCTTACTCATTACGCATTACTATGCATAGCAATTTATGTACCATCGCAAGAGAGCCTGACTAAGCGGGCATCTATGGGCTGTTCAAATTTATGGCAAAAACAGGAGATCTACTGTGAGACTCTGCTATACATGCTTACCCGTGTCTACTAGAGTGACGCTCTATTGTAAATACGGGATATGTATGGGCGGTAGAAGATTAATGTCTCTAGCTGTAACGTCGAAGGTATCCGTCCGGAATATTCCATCATGCGACTTTCTCCAGGTGGTTTGCGATTGATTGGGGGGTAAGGTAAAGATACAGGTTAGAATATTGGCATTTACCAAGGCAGGATGCTTCATCCCAGGAGAAGAGCCCCATACAGAATCCTAATTCGCAGTACCTATGCCGAAATATATATCCGAATCGATGCTCAAAACACCACTCTGGTGAATGGAAGGGCCAATACACAAAGATCGAGCAAAAGCAAGACTATGTTAGATTTATTGTATATAGACTGCAGCTTTGGCCGCAATTCACAATCCGACAAGGCTCGTCGCATTTGATAGTTGCTCAGCCCTGGCGAGTGAGAACCTAGACAAACCTGTAGGACGACACCAAGTGAGCCCCTAAATAAATGTATAAATGATGATATGGTCATAATCCAAGAGACAAAGCGACCGGTTGAAGTAGAGCATGTGCTGCCCTTGGAGCCAGGAGAGCTGAATAGTAATGAAATGGTAAACGAGGATCAAGCTTGTGAGTGGACCCACAAGATAAGATTATCAATCTCTTTAGTACTGGGGACCAGGGTCAGTCAACAAGCAAGGGCTTCTAGAATCGCTTCTAGAATCGAGATCCTGGCATCCTGGACCTGCACCGGTCCTCGTTCATCTTCCGCGGTCCCGGAGACGGGAGGGAGCCGATGTCGCAGCTTTGTAGGAAAGCGTACTCCGTTACATTCTCCATAAGGCCACGACGGTATCCCTTGGTTTGATGCCTTCGGGATGAGAAGCAAGAAACACTGTTCATGTGAGAAGACTTACCCCGGCGATTGCTGTCTTCTTGCCCCGGCAACTCTAACCTAACTTTCACTTAGCAGGATTGACTGACGCATCACTGGTATACGGAACAGAAAGCCTGATGCCTTTGACTATGTATTGCAGTGGCCGAATGTCCCACTTTGGATTGTTCGACCGTGCCCTCAGCAAAGTGACAAGTAAGACGTTTGGACGCCGAGTAAAACCCGATCGCTGAGTGTATCCGCAAGTCGTGCCGCGCTGGACGTATAGTCCTGACTCGGCGGCTCAGCCTGACAAGATGACATTTACACTGTAATATTAATCACAATCACTGCTGCTTTCAACCGGCGAGAGTCTCACTCTTGAATCCTGTTTGTGATGACAATATCACTGCGGTTTGTGACTGGATTTGCTGAGGAGCAGAGTATTAACCTGGCCGCAGCTGGGGGCTTGCACCAGACGAGGTTATCACAACTGCCGATATACGGGCAGCAAGGATCCAGGATGAAGTAGCGGAGTATCTTTCATAGCTGACTGCAGGTAGGGGTCGATCACCCTGACGGCATATACTCGATAACCAAACCTGCAGTGTAAAAGCTGGTACGACGGATCTACCCATGGAATCGACACTTGTAGTTTGTAGCTGTGGCTGGTGCATCAGCAATTGAGCTAAGGTTGACCCAAATATCGTAAGCATAGTGGTTTCATTGAGCTGACTGGAAGAGTCGGTGAGTCCGGACAGAAGGAGAAATGAAGCACCTTAGATCGGGGAGGTTGTTGTTTGTTGCGAGGCCGGAAGTTGGAACAGGATGAAGTTTACGGCGTATACCAGATCATGTACGGTCGACTTTTCAGCACGCCAGCAACCAAGGTGGAAATGTGTGGGATGATCTTCGATAGCCTCAGGGGAAGGTTTCTATAGAGTATACCGACTTTGAGGAGGATACTGATCTTGACACAATTGTAAAAGACATGGTCACTCGTGGAGAGGAGTAGTCTACACAAGTATACAGCAGAACAAGGGGATGTGCATCAGCCACGCACTAGCCTCAGGCACGGGGCTCGCCCCTCGGAAGCGAAAATGTCGTATCAGCCCCACTGGCGGAGCTCTACAATGCTCTCGAGTGGCACAACCGCTGCACTAGCCGCTTTTTCTTTGACATTCTTGCGTGTATCGGCTGTATGAGGTCCTCGAGCTGTGTCCCCAGGACAATCTTATTCTTGGGCCAGGAAGCCTCAGGAGGAGGGGTGGAGGGGACCACTCTTTCTCAGGGACAGGACCTACGCTGCATTTTCTGGCCTGACCCATCCCGGACTACTTATACAGCCCACGTTTGCACCCCTGGGCCTTTCCTTCACAATCAATCCTCTTCCTATTCTTCTCGCCTCTTTCCCTTCTATCCTCCTCCTCTCCATCTTCTTCGTTGTGGTTGTTCTTGACCATCTTTCCACCCGACTATACCACCCGTCTTTCCTCCCGTCACCGCTATTATGTCTCGCCCCCAGAACATCGGTATTAAGGCCATTGAGGTCTACTTCCCCAGCCAGTGTCTCGAACAGACCGAGCTGGAGAAGCACGATGGCGTTAGTGAGGGAAAGTACACAATTGGTCTCGGTCAGACCAAAATGAGCTTCTGTGATGACCGCGAGGGTACGTTTAGACTCCGTCGTCGACTTCCATCGACTGATACTAATTTTCCCTGTATAGACATCTACTCCATTGCCCTTACCACCCTTTCCTCCCTCATGAAGAAGTACAACGTCGACCCCAACTCGATCGGTCGATTGGAAGTCGGTACCGAGACTCTGCTGGACAAGTCCAAGTCCGTCAAGTCCGTCCTCATGCAGCTCTTCACTCCCCACGGAAACACCAACGTTGAGGGTATCGACACTGTCAACGCCTGCTACGGAGGAACCAACGCCCTTTTCAACAGCATCAACTGGGTCGAGTCTTCCGCCTGGGACGGCAGAGATGCCGTCGTTGTTTGTGGTGACATTGCTCTCTATGCTAAGGGTGCCGCCCGCCCTACTGGTGGTGCTGGCTGCGTGGCCATGCTGATCGGTCCCGACGCCCCTATCGCCTTCGAACCTGGTCTCCGTGCTTCGTACATCACCCACGCCTATGACTTCTACAAGCCCGATCTCACCAGCGAGTACCCCGTTGTTGACGGCCACTTCTCCCTCCGATGCTACACTGAGGCCGTTGATGCCTGCTACAAGGCCTACGGTACCCGTGAGAAGACCCTGAAGGAGAAGGCCCAGAATGGCACCAATGGCGTCACCCAGGACGAGTCCAAGACTGCCCTCGACCGCTTCGACTACATCCTCTTCCATGCTCCCACTTGCAAGCTTGTGCAGAAGTCATACGCTCGCATGCTCTACAACGACTTCCTCGCTAACCCCACCCACCCCGCGTTTGCTGAAGTTGCCCCCGAGCTGCGTGATCTCGACTACGAGACCTCTCTGACCGACAAGAACGTCGAGAAGACCTTCATGGCTCTGACCAAGAAGCGCTTCGCCGAGCGCGTGCGCCCTGGTCTTGACGTTGCCACCCTGTGCGGTAACATGTACACCGCCACCGTCTACGCTGGTCTCTGCTCTCTGCTCAGCAACGTCACATTCGACCCTAGCCAGCCTCCTAAGCGCCTGGGTTTCTTCTCCTACGGCAGTGGTCTTGCTAGCTCTCTGTTCAGCGCCAAGATTGTTGGCGACGTTTCATACATTGTTGAGAACCTGAATCTGCACAAGCGTCTCAACTCCCGGACTGTCCTGTCTCCCAAGGACTACGAGGCCATGTGCGAACTCCGTGAGCACGCCCACCTGTCCAAGGACTTCAAGCCTTCTGGCAACCCTGAGACACTTTTCTCCGGCACATACTATCTCACCGAGATCGACGGCATGTTCCGCCGCAAGTACGAGATCAAGGCATGAATGACGACCAGCATATAATCACCTTTATTCTTACGATCCTCCTACGACGGGGATTTGTCTATACGACTTTTAGATTCCCTCTTGCATGATGTTCTCTTGATTCGTTACGATAGAGTCGTTCTGCATTTTGTTTTAATCTTCAGGGCAAGGCGGCGCTGGAAAGCTTCCGGTTCATGAATCACCAAAACTTGTTTTGAATTATGATAATACCATTAATCAATTTATATGATCATGATATCGTTCTTTCGTAGGACATGCTAGATCATAACCAAGGGGTTCGGGGAGATCATACGATCACACTCTCGAAGGAGAATTTAAAAGCGTGGACAAACACCCTAGCAAGCCTTGACGCCCGTGTCTGCGGCTCCTGCGATCTCTCTCTGGAAAACGCCCATTGGTTGGTTTTGATGGGCGGAAGGAAGGAAGAGATCCCGTGCGCATCGCCTTCAGGGTCAACCTTAGCTCCAGCTTCTTCAACATCAACCCAATTCAAGGTTCACCCAATCCCCGGCCGCTCAAGACAGGACTTTTCTTCAATTTGATGCCATTTTGCGTTTCAGATGAGCCAAGCCGCTATAGATCGGTGACGAGAAGATTCGACACCCACCGCGGCGCCTAGCTGGGCCGGGTCGTCGGCGCGTACTGAGACCACCTTAGTCGCCGGGGAGGTATTCTTAGAACATCTGGGGCCCTGGAGCTCTCGCAGACGTCATGCTGATCTAGGAACTGCCTGCCGTGGCATTTGCGATACCCCTGTCGCATCCTGGCTGTCCCATATCAACCTCGGCGCTTAAAGACCTCCCACCAGAGGCGCACGCACCATGAGGCGTCCCTGGCATACTCGGTGCAGCAGATGCCCACCGGTACCTCTGCTTGCCGCCGATATGTTGAAACCTCAGGCTTTCGCGCAATCTGGGTAAATTTAGCTACCCTGCTACCCAGAATAGACGAAACACACCTATGCCGATTATAGATCTCCCCTGGCGCTTGCGCGAACCATTCCTCAGTGATTCACGCCTGAGGATAGCAGCAACATGCGAAATATAGTAACATTTTGCCGCGCAGCTGCTATGTGAAACACCCGTGCTTGCTGAAGATACCCTGGACTTCGGATCAGAGCAGCAGGAACTGGCAGCTTAGACCCGGTTCTTGCTGGAAACACCCGCCTCGGCTGTATATCTGGCGTCTCGATGGAGCTCTCTCCATGTTTCAGGTTATTTGGTCCCTGGGATGATCGGTTGATGGAGTGCTTCTATTTTGGCTCTGGACACTCTCGTGCCTGAAGCATTTAACGGCCAACCATTCCCGCTTGTCCACTTGTCTTGCTTTTCACAATTGTCATGCTTGGGATTTGATATCTCTGTTTTAGAAAAGCTTTGGCCTCTCTATCTTTCGCTTGGGAAGCTGGCTCTTCCGACTACACCACAACCTAATACGCCTATTTCATTCCTGTGGCTACACGAAAATGTCTCTGGGCTTCCCCTACAACCGGCCCACCACCCCTCCGGTGCAGTACCAGGAGCTGGCTGAACACTCCCATAATCGTCATGCATCAGATTCATCTATATACTCGAACGACTCATCTCCCTGGTCTGCTGTCACCTCGACTACGAGCCCAACGATAGATTCTCCTCCTCGGTATCAACACGGACCTGCTCTTCTCCCTAGGATCAGATCACAAGACGTTGTCATTGAGCCACCGCCAGCAGCTGGACCGCGGCGTCACCGGCGGTTCCTTTCCAACACTCGAAACCCGCCAGGCTTCATTCCATATCCGCCCCGGCGTCCGTCAGTCCAGCATAACGTGGTCGAGGTATCAGACAGGCTGGCCGCTGTCTCATCTGCCCATACCTCGCCTGTCTACGCATCGTACAATGAATCAACACTTTCGTCTCCTGTGAGCATCACACCGTCCCACAAACGCAGGGGATCTCGCAACCACTCTCGCTCGGGCTCAACCTCAAGTATTGAAGAGGTTAAATACGCCTTTTCGACCTATCGGCAATACCCAAAGTATGCAGCTCAGCCTCAGCCTTCCCCTACGGCACCAATGACTCCGGCCACACCGAATATCATTGTGTATCCCCCATTCTTGCGGGACTCACCGGCCGAGCCCGTAGCCAAGTCACGGGAAGCCCCGGCGCAGCTGGCACTTCCAGCTTCCCCATACCGCTACACACACGTTACTAGTTCCCTGTGCTCACCTGTTGGCCTTGCGCATACTGTTCCCAGCGTCTGTGCGCAGTCAACCACTCTTCTCTCGTACCTCACAAGCCCAACACAAGCAATCAACCTAGTCCGCAATGTAAGCGTAATTCCCACCAGAGGCCTGCATGACTATTTCTGGTGGGATGTTCGGAACCTACGCAGCTGGACTTCTTTCTCGCTGGATACTTTCAACTCAATCAAAGGACTCACGAAGCTACTGAAAACGGCGATCCCTTCGAACCTGACACCCCCGGCAGTAGTCCAAAGCAACCGCCTGTCTCCAGACTCAGAAGCCGCGCTCGTTAGTCTCGTCCAGGACATGTACGCCCCGAGAGTCAATGCAGCTCTCGCCGTATCTCAAGGTCATGACCACCTGTCCTTATACCCAGCTCCGGCGCCTAGGACCCCAGCCAACAAGAACTACGGTGGCCCACACTTCTTGGCTAACTATACCTCCGACACTGAACAAACGATCTCGGGCCTCCCTCGCGGACGCCTGGTTGGAATAGCCAAGAGCTTCGACCGGTGGAACACAGGCATGCGCAATGAAGCGCCACACCGGCGGGTAGAGTACCTCAACGGCCTCGCCCACCTCCAGCGCTGCATGCGCGAACACTCCTGCCGCTACGGCTTCATTATCACGGAGATCGAGCTTGTTTGTGTCCGCGCAGGCTGCGACCAGGGCGACGATGTGCCTTACTTTGGATTCCTTGAAGTTTCCGCGCCAATTCCGACAAATATCGCTGCCCACCAGGGCAACGAGAGCTCTGTCGAGCACAACTCATCCGGCTACGCTTCGCCCAGCTCGCCCACCCCCTCTGCCGACAGCTCGCTTGCCAGCCAGTCACCGCCGCGAACTCGCACTCATCACGACGAAATGGGATACGGCGGCCCAATCCCGGCCGGAGCACCAGAAGCCCTCAACGTTCCGATGACCGCCAGCCTAGCCCTGTACTTCCTCCTCATGCTCTCGAAATCCGTCCCGCTCCCCTCTCAACCTTCGTCCCATTTGAATGTCGGCGGGCCCGGCGCGCTCACCCGTCAACGGACTCTACCTGAAGGGAAGGACAAGTGGATACCTGAGCCGCAAATCGGGGAGAAGCGTGATGCAAAGCGCGTACGGGGGTGGATATGGCCGCATGATGCGTGGCATCGTAGGGAGGGCGGTGGTGCGCCGAGGGCTAGGGCTGCGGGTGCAAGTGTGGTTGCGGTGGCGCCGTCGGGGAAGACAAAGAAGTGGCATAAGTAGCTGGCTACTGGTGCTAATGTTGATTAGAACGGAGTTAGAGCTTACGGTCTTGGGAGGCGTTTTGTTGTTGTGTTAGCATTAATGTAATTCTTCCTACTGATATATCTCCGTGTTATCGTCTTTGCAGATGCCTAAAGCCGTCCTTGTTTATCGAGGATTGAGGATTTTGTCGCCAACCCTGGGTAGGGAGAGGGTATAGCATGGCCTCATTTACATGATCCTCTATAGCACACCAACACTCTCTCCCCTTCACGCCTCGGCCAACCTAGCATACCGATTCCCGAGCCCACAGAAACACTCTACGGACCGCTCAACATCCCCTTCATCCTGTCCATCCTTCCCGAAAGCCCTCCTCCCAAGCACCTCCTCCAAGCTCCACGCAACCCTCTCAGCCCCAAGTCTCGCGCCCTCGAGGTTCGGCGCCCCGGGACCCAACCTCAACGCTGCGAGCCTCCCCGTCATATACAGCGGCACCTCCGCCTGCCACATCAGATCGTCCGTGAGACAGGGCAAGCCGCCGATCGAGCGTATGGGATACTCGCTATGCATCTTCTGCAGGAACGGCAACTCGTTGACGTCCATGTGCATCCCCGTCGCGAAGTAGATGTGGTCGATCTCAGCGGGGAAGTCCGGAATCGGCGGGTTGGTGGTCAGATGCCAGGTCTTTGTGGAGGGGTTGTAGGTTCGCGATGCGATGGTTGTGCGGGTGTGGATGGAGACTCTCTTTGCTGAGGCGTGGTGCTGTAGGATCTTCTGGTACCGGGGCGTGATGCTGCCGCCGCCGCGGGCTGTCTTGATCATTTCGAGACGCTCTTCGTCTGTGTCGGCGGACCAGAAGACGGCTTTTTCGTAGTTTTTGAATTTCCCCATCCAGGTTAGGGTTATGTCGAAGTGTTTGACTGTCCTCGCGTAGTCTAGTCAGTTGTCTGGACCTGAATGGAAGATATGGTAGAGAGGGAAGAGCATACCTTTGAAATCGGACCTCATCAGGAACCACACTTTGCTCACGCCCTTTCTGATTGCCATGTCGACGATCTGCGCGGACGACAACCCGCCTCCCACGACGACCAGGTTCGTTTCCTTTCGTGCCTGGATCTTTCTCTTCACATGGACACTTGGGAACAGGCCTGGCCTGATCTCGGAGCTATGACAGGCACCCTCTCTCTCCTGATCGCTCAGCTCAAAGGGCATGATCTTCTTCCCGCCAGGACCAACGGCCAATACCACAGCCCTAGCATGGAAAACGCTTCCATCCTTTGTCGCAACCGTGAACACTTTCTTCACGGAATCAACGTCATCCACATATCCATACGTGATATCAGCAACCTCTCCTTCCTCTATCAGTCCCTTCTTGTCGAGCCCATACCTGCCCACAACGCTCTCACAGAAATCCCTGAACAATGCAGTCCCTGGGGAGAAGTAATCCTTACGATCGCGCTCGTCAATCTCTGTATCACCCAGCACGCCAAGATTTCCCTTTTTCTGCTTCAGTCGTTGACGCTGCTGTTTCTTCTTCTTGTGCTTCGAGATCTCTTTCCCTACACACCCCGGTATCTCCCAGAGATCACTCTCGCGACTTTGTTCCGTCGTATATGCGAGCATGCCGTCGCGGTCGCTGGGGTCAACGTGGAAGAACATCGGGCTACGGAGCTGCGCGATCTCAAGGGTGCGGAAGGCGCGGTGCCATTTCGTGAGCCAGTTGGGACCTGTCGAGTCGAGGATTTTGAGGGTGGGGGATTGTTCTTCCTCTTCTTCGGGTTCGGACTCGAAGTCGGAGGCTTGTGAGGATAGAGATGTTGCGGAGTCGTTTTCTGCTGTTGATGTTGTGGGAGTAGAAGCGTTTGAACCTTCGCTTGAGACCGACGAAGCCCGTTCCTTTACTGAAACGGCTTGTTGCTTGGGAATCCCCAAGCTACCCATCTTCCCTGGTCTTCGTCTGATGAGGTTCATTCTGCCCTTGTGCTTGTTGATCCAGTGGTATCGTTGGTGCTCGGAATCTGTGAATATGGCGGAGGGCGTTTGCTCTCTCAATCGAGCGGCGACGGCGAGGCCGCAGGGGCCCGCGCCAATGATGAGGATGTCGTGTAGTTGGACCATGGTTTCTCTCTTATCTATCCTTTGACAAAAATGCAAATAGGTTAGGGGAGAAGATAGAAAAAGGGTACGTAATAGGTAGCAATAAATTGAGTTTGATTGTCGCGTCCTGTCTGCAAGACGGTATGGTTATATATGATATGCTCATACAGGTGATCTCGGGAGCCGTGTGAATGTTCCCCAGGGTACTTGAGTCCCCAAGGTACCTGGTACACACCTTTGGCGGAGGATGGGATGATGTGCACTGCGTTGACTGTATGGGGTAGGGCTGGGGACCTTGTGGCCATTTGCATCAGATTGAACTCACCTCACCAGGGTCCCCACTAAGGACAACCCGATAAGGGCTTCAGATCTGATAAAACAAAGGCCATGGTCGGAGAATATGCTGTATCTATTCCATCATTCAGCTGTTCGTAGACGAAGAGACGGAATCGATCGTCCGAAGTCTCTGTCTCATCCTTTGGAGGATTCCTCTTGGCCGCCAAACAGCAATTGCAAACTTATCAATGTCGTGATGGTACCTCTGCCTTTATTTCGTTCAGGTCCCTAGTTCGGGCTCATGGTCATTCGCACTTGGTTCTTGAGGACAATGGCGACATAGGCGAGGCAAGATTCGCGGTAATGGGTGTCTTTAAATCTCTCCTGATCTATAGTGGATACGCAGCTAGTAACAGGTACTTTCAGCATTCGGATCGACAATGATTTGAGAGAGGATCGACAATGATCTGAGAGACACCAGTCTGACACGTAGAGGGTAGGAGTAGGACTCACACAAAAGAGCTGAGGTCGATATCTTTGTGCTCGGCATGCGACTTGCTTCTTGTAGGTTTTCTTCTGTGTGCTCAGCTGCTTCTGGATTGAGGACCAGAGAGTCCTCCTTCTGCCATGGTCAATGTTTTGCTTGTCTGGTGTGAGTTGGTTGTAGAGGCAATGGAGAAAGAAGATTGTCATCATGCAGAGGTCTCTCCCCCAGACCAACCATCCACTTGCACATCCCGTCCACTCAAACATTAACCTGGCCAACTCTACGCCAGTGAATTGAATGTTTTACTCCCTCACACAGTGAGCAAGATCCAATTGGCTCAACAACGGACAGCAATTGAGATCCAAGCTGGAGTCGATAAACCCAAGGCACCAATCCAGGTATTTCCTTAGCTCAGTGTCAAGATTCTCGAAGGCCATTTGGCTAACAGAGGCTTTCCTTCACAGCATCGAGCACCTCCTCCCCAGCCCCGTTTCGCGCAGCCTACCTCAGCTATCACGGTTACCTACAACAGGCAGACGTACCAGGCATGGCAGTTTCTACGGAGTAGAGCTCGCCGAAACATGCCCTCATACTCAAGCACCAGGTACCGCCACTTGAGGTAGCACAGATGGCTGTACAAATGACAAATCAAAGCTTCAGCACTGATTAGACTCTCTCCCATCATTTCTACTGGCGGCGAGCTGTGCCGACGTGGCTGCAAATACGGAGAGACGCGTTTGAAGAGCCACTGATAGTGACGATACTCCCTAGTGGCGTGAATCAGATGACCACTGCGGACTGTCCGCCGAACTCCACGAGCCTGGCTCCTTGTGTCGTGGCTGAGACGCTACCCATCCTGAAGTGTGGGTTTCTTAATCATGCGAATCGTGGGGAGGCAGCACTGCTTTGGCGGAAGCCTATCTGAAATCTCAGACGCAAAAGCGCCTTGTTGATATGCCGGATACTGCCTTGGAAGTCGGAGGCGAGTGACACAAACGAGACAGCTACCCCATAGCATCAACGTACACAGCGGAGAGACATCCGCAGGCGCCGGCGCAGGCGCGGCCCCGCTCCGCACTGGGATGCGTTATACGAGGTAATCTGAATCCTGCTTCATAATGACTGCGATCTAGGCAGGACGCGCAAAAAGGAACCTCATCTAGGTCTCACCTGGCGGGGTGGACCCACGTTGATGTATGTGGACAGAGCCAAGATAAGCCTACCGTATTGTCGGATTCTTGCTTTGTTTCTGGTAGATCTCGTAAGTCTCACCCGGATGAGGCTCAGATGGAGCCTGGGCCCTGGAGGTTGTTCGTGGGTGAAAGTGCCCGTTTCAGAAACACAAGCTCATCGCACAGTAGCCTGCAGCGCCCGATACGAGGCTCTTGCTGCCTACCCTTGCAGCAGATGGTCTCCGCATCTGATAGTCTCCCACGTTGACCACGTTGAACCTGACTGCTTAGGCCTTGTCATTATCGCTCACCCTGCTCAGCGGCTCAGCCCCGTTCGTCTCACCGTCGGTCAGTCAGTACAACCCAGGAAAGGCAGCCGGCAGGTCGTGATACAACCACGTGCGAGGCTCACCTGTAGCTATTGCCACTCGAGTCATTGAAAGCGCGAATTCTCCGGATTCAGTTGAAGGCAAAATGGAGTCTTCAGCGTTGTTGGGGAGCTCGAAAAGCTACCAGCCACAAGCGATGTGGCGCAGCAAACCCTTGCCCCTGAGAAAGCGATCATGCGCCACACTCGTAGGTGGTTCTGTCAAAGTTCAACGAAGGACTGAGAAGATGCCAGAGGTGAAGAAACTTCAAGCGAGATAACGTCATCCGACAGTGGAAACGCTACGGAGTACTCTGTCAGAGCCTAAAAGGATGTTCAAGTTGCATACATAGCTACCCTTGCACAACATGCAACCGGCTGGATGCTGGGCATCGAGGCGCAGCAATAGCCAATCAGCCAACCAGTCTCGGCGTCAAGACCTGAGCTTTTTTGCGTGAAGAATTATCGTGAGCCTGCTTCATTGGCCGGAATTGCCATCATGATCGGTCTCACTAGGCGCTGGACCCATCCCTTGCCTGTCATCCTGGTCACCCTAGACAATACGAATAAGACTACCACTGTCGCAACCCACCTCTCGCTTGACTAAGAGGGATCTTAATCTAGTCAGCGCTTAGGGAGCCCAACAGAGGGCTTCCAGTCAGCCCGTGTGTTTCACAGAGACTCTGGTAGCCGCCGTACTTTGTTTGCCGACACGACCGAGACGAAACAGAGGCTATATACGGGCTCCAGCAGCAGAATCAAGAAGCCAGTAGACACTAATGGACCCTGCCAAGGGACTTGGAGACTAGAGTTGATTGCAGCAATCTGTGGCTGGCCAATCACAATATTGAAAAATGGGAAATTGATTCGGTAGGTGGCATCTCTGCCTCGTCATACACTATACTTTGCACTGCCTCACTGCCCAGATATGCCTAGGTGCATCCTTCGCCTCCACCTCCTTTCGCAATTCGTATATCTAACATCAGAATCTGCCAGCCTTCGTATCGTTTTCCTGATGCAAGATAAAACACCATAATATACATCAGTTTTGCTACGCGGCAGTTTGCCTGTTGATTATGGCGAACCCTAACTCCCGCGACCCTTCTGAGGGCTCGTTGCGACTGCCAACCCCCCAGATTGAAATCCACGAAGACGATCAAAGCCCATTTTCGCCCGGGCAAGCGGGCTCAAGAACCCTTATGCCATCTGCAGATCGGTTAACAGTGAATCGTGATCCCCCACGCTCTTCGCATTCCCTCGACGGAGACACTCTTCGTGCTCGAGCCGATTCAAATGTTTCGAGTGCAGCAACAATCGCCCACTCAGAGGCGTCACCGAGCTTAGAGCCTAAAAAGGGCAAAAATGCAATCGACTTTTCAGATCTCGACGACGTACCGATATCCGAAGCCCTCAATCCAGATCCCCAAAATGTTGGTGATTTCGAGGTGCAAGATAACAGGTTCCCCTTCTCGCCTGGCCAGCTGAACAAGATGCTGAACCCCAAGTCCCTGGCTGCCTATCAAGCACTTGGAGGACTTTCAGGCCTAGCTCAGGCTCTACGAACAGATCTCAAATCAGGATTATCCACCGACGAAACGACACTGCCAGGAAAGCTTGTGCACAACACCGAGACATCATCGTTTGACTATCATGAGGCTGCTGGCAGCTCTGAAGGCAAAGACACTCAGTTCTACGATCGGATACGGGTTTTCAGTCAAAATAGACTGCCAGCAAGGAAGTCAACCGGGTTTTTTATGTTGCTGTGGATGGCCTACAATGATAAGATCATCATCCTGCTGACGATCGCCGCTATTATTTCTCTGTCGCTGGGAATATACCAGACCATCGATGAAGGACATGGTGTGGATTGGGTAGAAGGAGTTGCGATCGTAATTGCTATCGCAATCGTTACGATCGTAACGGCGTTGAATGACTGGCAAAAGGAGCGGCAGTTTGCAAAGTTGAACAAGAGGGTAAGTTTCCCCATTCTCGCTTCTCAGGTGCCTCTGATCTGACCAATACAGAATGATGACCGCGAGGTGAAGGCCGTGCGCAACGGAAAGGTGGTCCTGATCTCGATCTTCGACATCACGGTCGGCGACATCTTGCAGGTTGAACCTGGTGACTCTATCCCTGCCGACGGCGTCCTCATATCTGGCCATGGTATCAAATGTGACGAGTCGTCTGCTACTGGCGAGTCCGATCAGATGAAGAAGACAGACGGATTCGAGGTATCTCGACAAATCGCTGACGGTACAGCCACCAAAAAGCTCGACCCGTTTATGATCTCCGGTAGCAATGTCCTTGAAGGGGTCGGGTCATACCTTGTGACAAGTGTCGGAAAGTTTTCTAGTTATGGCCGAATCCTCATGTCCCTGCAAGAGTCCAACGACCCTACGCCTCTACAGGTCAAACTTGGACGGCTTGCAAACTGGATTGGATGGTTTGGATCAGGGTAAGTTCCCAATGTGTCACACCCAAGCATGTGCTAACGGTGATAGTGCTGCCATTATTCTCTTCTTTGCTTTGCTCTTCCGCTTCGTTGCCAACCTTGACAGCAACACTGGCAGCTCGGCTGCTAAAGGTCAAGAGTTTGTGGACATTCTCATTGTGGCTGTGACAGTCATTGTCGTTGCAATTCCTGGTAAGCATTTCCTTTAAGACTATTAGCGGCCATATCTAACTTAACTAGAGGGTCTTCCGCTGGCCGTGACCTTGGCTCTCGCCTTTGCTACGACACGAATGGTAAAAGAGAACAACCTCGTCCGTGTTCTTCGGGCCTGTGAAACTATGGGCAATGCAACAGTTATCTGCTCAGATAAAACTGGCACATTGACCCAGAATAAGATGACCGTGGTCGCTGGAACTTTGGGCTCGAGAGGCTTTATCCAAAGCCCAGGGGAGGAGTCTACCTCCATGTCTGCTGTGGAACTTTTCAAGACGAGTCCCAGGGAAGCCCGCGACCTCCTTGTCAAGAGCATTGCTCTCAACTCTACTGCATTCGAGGAAGAAAAGGAAGGCGCGAAGCAGTTCATTGGTAGCAAGACAGAAGTGGCACTACTGCAGCTGGCCAGGGACTATCTGGGGATGGATGTCACGACTGAACGAGCCTCCGCAACCATAGTCCAGCTCATTCCATTCGATTCTGCTCGGAAGTGCATGGGCGTGGTGTACCAGGTCTCCGAGGGACAATACCGCCTCCTGGTCAAGGGAGCCGCCGAGATCATGGTCGGCAAATGCTCAAACAGAATTGACTCCGACTCGGACAAACTGCGCATAGAAGTGGCAACTGCGCAGGACAAGCAGGATGTCCTGGACACCATAGAGTCGTATGCGAAGAAATCTTTGCGTACGATTGGACTGGTCTACAAGGATTTCTCTACTCCTAGCTGGCCTCCAGTCGAAGCTGCCCGTGTTCAGGACGATCCAGACTCCGCCGACTTTGACAGCATCTTCCGCGACATGACCTGGCTTGGGGTGATGGGTATCCAGGACCCTCTTCGTCCTGAGGTTCCTGCTGCCATCCAACGTTGTCATGTTGCCGGTGTTCAGGTGAAGATGGTCACAGGTGACAATATCAGCACCGCTACTGCCATTGCCGAGTCTTGTGGTATCAAGACCGAGGACGGTATTGTCATGGAAGGCCCCAAGTTCCGCCAACTCTCCGAGGAAGATATGGACAAGGTCATTCCTCATCTTCAGGTCCTGGCACGCTCTTCTCCTGAAGACAAGCGTATCCTGGTCGCCCGGCTGAAGAAGCTGGGCGAAACTGTGGCAGTGACAGGTGATGGTACCAACGACGGACCAGCCCTGAAGACAGCAGACGTAGGCTTCTCCATGGGTATTGCTGGAACTGAAGTTGCCAAAGAGGCCAGCTCCATTATCCTCCTCGACGACAACTTCAAGTCTATTGTGACCGCCATCGCCTGGGGCCGTGCAGTCAACGACGCCGTCGCCAAGTTCCTCCAGTTTCAAATCACAGTCAACATCACAGCCGTCGTCCTCACCTTCGTCTCCTCCCTCTACAACTCCGACAACGAGAGCGTCCTCAGCGCCGTCCAGCTTCTCTGGGTGAACCTGATCATGGACACTTTCGCTGCACTGGCTCTTGCAACCGACGCACCCACAGACAAGATCCTCGACCGCAAGCCCGTGCCCAAGAGCGCCTCGCTCTTCACGGTGACTATGTGGAAGATGATCCTCGGCCAAGCCATCTATCAGCTCGGCATCACATTCATGCTCTACTTTGCGGGAGACAGCATCCTCTCGGACTACCTCTCCTCCGACCCAGACACCCGCCACCGCCAGCTCGACACCATTGTCTTCAACACCTTCGTCTGGATGCAAATCTTCAACGAATTCAACAACCGCCGCCTTGACAACAAACTCAACATCTTTGAAGGCATGCACCGCAACTACTGGTTCATCGGCATCAACTGCATCATGGTCGGCGGCCAAGTCATGATCATCTACGTTGGCGGCGAGGCCTTCAACGTCCGCGAGATCACCAGCGTGCAGTGGGGTATCTGTATTGCCTGCGCATTTGGCTGTCTCCCCTGGGCCGTGGTCCTCCGCTGCATCCCCGACAAGCCCGTCGGCGTCGTCCTCGATGCCGTCACGACCGCTGTCGGGTTCGTCATGAAGCCTCTTGGCCGCGCCTTCGCTGCAATGGGAAGACCCATCAAGCGGGTTATGCGCAGACGCCAGAACAAGAGCAAGGCAGACGATACAAACACGTTGGAAGACCTCCACGAACAGCGCGTTTCCGATGAGGAGCGCCCTGTGCCCCAGTTTACGATTACCTCCCCGGATGATGCTTCACACCGTTAATACGCTCGTTTTCCTCACATTCCTTGTATTATACCCATACGTGGTCAACTCGGCGTTTTCATTTCATTGGGCGGGCTTGTTGTTTTGAGATACCACGATATATCGGGTTTCTGGCGTTCTGCATAGCGATCGGCTTTTCTGTCTTTTACCTCCAGCTGGGTTAGATACGGAATTTGTATAGTAGTCTAGGTAGCGGAACAATCATAGACTAGGTCCTTTAAGATGTCGCCTACATTCGTTGACCTTATAATCAATGCCCACTTGTAATGCTCCCTTTGTATAGACGGCCATGGTTCATAGCGTGGACATGGTCCGTAGTAGGCATCCGTGCTACCTCTGCTCATAACCATGTCCATGCTTCAAACCCACTTTGTATGCTACCCACATCCATAAGCTATGGATCAGCTACCTGTCTTCATAGCCATATTATAGGCATGGTACACAAGATGAATCCTTAGACAGGTGGTAGACTGTAACTATAGGGTTAGCCATTTCATGCCTGAGGCGTTCAGGCATCAATTCTATTTCACTAGCACAGACAGTAAACCTGGCCATTGATTCTGATTAAGTGATGTTATGAACTCCTGTTTCCTATTCTCTAGTCCAGTCATCTGCATAATCCTGGAGAGAGCTGAAGGGTGGCTGTCCCAGAAAGCCATCTGTCACAACCCAGCAGCCTTCCCCGCGTGGAACTGAGCCTCTCTTAGCTCAATTGATGACGACCCAACTTCTCCCTCCTCCGTCCTCTCCAGCTCCACCGCAACACCACCACCACCGCTCCTCAATCCCTCTCCTCTAACAACCAACCCATTACCACCCGGGTTTCGAATCCAAATCCAATCCAACCCGAATAATCAAAAACAACCCTACCTACCAACCCTCAAACCCCCACAACCAAACCCAAACCCAAAATGTCCACCCTAAACTACCGCACGATAAACATCGACGCCCTCGACCCGGACAGCCCGCAGAACTTCCCAATCGAGTCCCTCCTGCCCTCCACGCTCCCCCCCTCGCAAGGCCCCAGCGACGCCGCGAACACGGCCACACAGGTCCGGCAGCTCCTGCGCTCGGGCGACCCCGCCGCGGCGCTGATCCACGTGCTCGACACGGCGCCCCTGGGCGGCGACGAGGGCGCGAAGCAGGTCCACCTTGCGACGGTTATCGATGTCCTGCAGGGGATTAGGCAGAGTGAGATGGGACGGGTTCTAGCTGCTGTGCTTGAGGGGCAGGGCGGTGTTGAGAGGGGGGATTGTTTGATGAAGTACTTGTATGTCCTCTCTTTCTTCTTCTAGGTTGGTATGGATTGATTAGGGTATGCTAATGATGGTTCGTGCAGGTACAAGGGTATGGCGGCCGGGGGACCGAGCAACGGCGCGCAGAGCCCCAGGAAGTCGGTGTCGCCGCAGAGCACGGGGTTTTCGCAGATCCAGGCGAGGAATCTTGGTGAGGGGGGTGGTGGGCAGCAGATGAGCGTGCTGCTGAACTGGCATGAGAAGCTGGTGGAGTTGGCGGGGACGGGGTCGATTGTGCGTGTCATGACGGACCGAAGGACTGTTTAAGCTTGTCATGTTGTCATTCGACTTTTGTTGTTCCTTGTTCATTGTGATACTGTACAGAGGCTATAGACTATGGCCTGAAATCACCACCGCCCAAAATATCCTTCAGATTCACCTCTCCGCTTCCCCGCGCCAGCGGCTGGCTCTGTCCCTCTCCCTCCTTCCAACCAATCATATAGATCAGCCGGAACGTCGCTGGAATTCCAGGAGCACCCTCCTCCATATGCAACTGCCTGTAAATTGCCTCGTTGGCCAGCAGCACATCTCGGGATATAGGCCCCTGTTCTCGCTGCACAATGGCATTATTCTCCCCCATCGCCTGCAGATCCGCCATGAGCGAGAATGTATCCGGGAACTCCACCACAATATCCTCCACATCCACCGTCAGCATCTTAAACCCAGCCTTGGTCAACAACCCGCCAACATCTCTGACATCCGCAAGCGGACTAACATGCGGCGAGACACCACCCCGCCTCTCCAGATCCGCCAGCTGCAGCGACGTCCTCAGCTCAAAGAGCGTGTCTCCTCCAAACATCGCCGCAATGAACGGGCAGTCCGGCTTCAAGACCGAATTCACCTGCGCCAGCAGCGAGGGAAGGTCATTTATCCAGTGGATTGAGAGAGACGAAAGAACTGCATCGAAAGTATTGGGTTCGTAGGGTAGGGATTCGAGGTCCGGAATCACTTTGCGGGTTATAGGGAGGAGTTTATTGAAGGGGAGGTCTGCGTCGCGGTGCAGGAGGGCCGGTGATGTCTCGATGGCTGTGAGGTGGTCTATTCGGTCGGCGAGGGTGACTGTTTCGCCGCCGGAGGAGATGGTTGCGCCCTCGGGGGTTATGGTTGTCCCTGCTGCGGCATCTGCATCTGCGCCTGCGTCGAGCGCTGGGATGGGTGTTGTTAGGGCGCGCGCGATGTTGCAGCTGTTTGCGCCAAGGTCGAGCACGTTGGGGAATCTGCGTTTGATGTCCTAGTTGTGTCTGTTAGTCTCGGCTTCTCGTCATGGAGCTGTATGTAGCTGTAGCTAGCTAGGATAGCTAGGGTAGGTAGGAGTCCGTACAAGGAGACGCTCGCATAGCCGCATGGCGACCTCATCCTTGAGGTAGTCGACTTTCCGGCTCTCTTCGACATTCTGCGCCGCGCGCTCTTTCTGGAGATGTTTGGTCTTGCGGTTGAAGATTTCCAGCACCGGGTTGCCGGGGGTTTGGCTAGCGTACGTGCGGCGAGGCGCCTGTGAGGCGCGGATGGCGGGGCGGAGGTGCCGGAGAGATGACATTGTGATTTTATAGGGTATGTGTGATGATGATTGAGAAATTGAGTTGGATTTTAGCAGAATTGCTGGTTAGATGGCCATTTTCGAGCAAGTGGTTGTGACGTCGGAGAAGGAAATCTTTGGCTTTGTTGATTGTCGATAAGGAGCTCGGATTTCCAGCAAACGCCGCCTCCACCTCAACAACGAACCCCCTCATTTCTCAATAGGGCGGTCCAGCAGGCTGTCAGGTAAGAATCCTAATTCCGCTCGTGTGGCCTAGTGTATACTGACGTGGATAGCATGGCGTGCCCATTCCCCTATACGTTCATCTCCTGCCCATGTGCAGACGCCCCGGATCCCTCCAGAAATCGGAGATCAAGAGAGTCGCCGCAAAAAGCCAGTCCCGTCAAGCCACGCCCGCAGCCCGTGATATCTGACGACGAGGATGAGGACGAACAGACTTTTGACCCTCGCGCCCCGCGGTCCAATTTCTCTCTTTACCCGCCCGAGCAGCTCCTATACTGTGAGGACTGCCACCAGATCAAGTGCCCGCGATGCATCACGGAGGAGATATTGTGCTGGTATTGTCCGAGCTGTCTGTTTGAGACACCGAGTAGCTTAGTGCGATATGAAGGGAATCGGTGCGCCTTATCTTTTACTTTCTTGATTTGTTTGTGGGATGGACGCTGATTTTGATAGATGCGGGCGGAATTGCTTCAATTGCCCAAGCTGTACAGCGCCACTGGCTGTCACGGCGCTAGAGGGCGACTCCTCGGGGGAGCATGCAGGCCCCTGGGTGCTGTCTTGCAACTACTGCATGTGGACGACCTTGGATATTGGAATCAAGTTCAACAAGCCGACCAATATCCGTGGTCAATTGACGAAATTGACAACCGACCCGTCTTCTGCGCCTCCATCTCGCTCGCACGGCTCGCACGGGGGTTCCAAGTCATTCGGCGAGCTCAAATCTCCCCTGTCCATGTACTCGTCTATTGACGAACAGCTCCCGCCTGCCGGGACGAAACCCGACGAAGAACAACCTACAACCACAAACGCCCCGCGCACGCGCGACGCCCGCTTCGCAGCCCTCAAGAACTTCTACAAAGACCAGATGTCTGAGACAAACACCACGGGCGTCAACCCCGCCAACCTTGCCAACCAATTCTCCTCCCCAAGCGAGTTACAACGCATCATGTCACTCTACACGCGATCCGGGCTCTCGCTCTATGGCAACAGCAGCAAAAAGGCCCGCGCTAAACCCCCCGTCATGCGCGAAGCCCTGACACCAGCCGAGGGCCTCTCCATCCCCAGTAACCCCGACTCCGAAACAGCCATCATCCGCCGCCTTGCTTCGGACGACTGCGGCTGGGAAGGCACCGTCTCTATCGAACAGCGCACCTCGCTATCTCAGTCCCCGAACGCGCGCTTCGTCGAGGACCTCCTCCCACTCCCAACATTACTCCGCACGAAGCGCTCCAAGCGCTGTAAATCGTGCAAGCACATACTCGTCAAGCCAGAGTTCAAACCGCAATCTGTCCGATACCGCATCAAACTCATTGCAATCAGCTACATCCCCCTCCCTACACTCCGGCCGCTTGTTCTCCCCCCTTCATCCTCCCAGCCAGTACCACCGCCAGCTCCAGACCTCAATGCTCTTCCGCCGCAGAAACCGATTCAGCTGCTTCTGACACTAAAGAACCACATGTTCGATCCCGTCCGCATTACGCTCGCAACACCATCTGTGACACCCGGCCGTGTCGCGTCAAAGGTTACAATCCTCTGTCCGCAGTTCGATATCGGCGCGAACAAGGACGCCTGGAGCGAGGCGCTCGAACCCGTTGCGCCGCCTTATGAGAGGGTCGCAGAGGCAGGCAAGGTGTGGGAGAAGGGCCGGAACTGGACGACTGTCGTGCTGGAGGTCGTACCTGGCTCCTTACCTGGTCTGGGAGGGAAGCGGCCAACGGCCGGCAATGACAGTAGCAGCGACGACGAAGCCGGAAATGACAGCGACGACAGCGGCAATGACCTTATGAAAGTATCGGGACAGTTGGACTGGAGCGGGCAGGCCTCCGACCCGTCGCAGCAGATCCAGCCCGACGAAGACGTGCTCGAGATTCCGGTCTTCGTGCGCATGGAATGGGACTCGGATAGTCCGATGGAGTCGGAGGAGGGAGGGAAGGGCTCGCTGGGTGCCGGCGCTGGTCTTGGTGCCGATGGAGGGACGAAGAGGGAGTTGGCGTATTGGATGGTGTTGGGGGTTGGGAGGATTGTGTCTGGCGGGTCTGCGTCCAGCCCTGATTCCGCATAGGTAGCCTTGATTGACCCAGACGTATTTGCTAGAAACCGCGTGTTTGATATACCCCCATACTCGTACAATTACAGCGCCCGCATCCACTTACTCCAACTTACTACAGCTAGAAGAGAAAATGAACTTGGGTAATTTTTTTATCTTTCAACCACGCCGAACAAAAGAGAACAGCCCGGGCCAAAAACAGATCATGACTGAGTGTAATTATCACATCACATCACATTCCTTCCTTTCCTCTTCCTCCCCGGATGCGAGAAGCGGCAGAGAGTAGAAGACATAAATATGAGCTATCCCTCTCCCTATGTCATAACCCTATAAACCTCGACTCCGCACCTGTTCCTCGTCTCCCATCAACCGAGCAAAGAGCAAATCTAGTACTCAGAGGCACCCTGGGGGAACTCGAAAACGACAGCACGACCCGTCAGACGACGGTAGACCTCGCCGTAGGCGTCGAGGCGGTGGTCAACACCACCACGCTCCTTCTCGTCGAGGATAACCTTGAGCGTCTTGGAGCCGTCCTCCTTGGTGCGGGTGCGCTTGCCGACGATCTCAACGGGGTAGACGAGGTCGTCGAGGATGGCGTCGTGGACGGCCGTGAGGGTGCGGGAACGGGGGCGCTTCTGCTTCTGGTTGGTGCGGGAGTTGACGGAGCGCTTGGGCTTGGGGAGGATGCGGCGCTGAGCGACGAAGAGGACGTGGCGGTCGGAGAACTTCTTCTCGAGTTCGCGGGTCAGGCTGTGGGTTTGTTAGTTGGCTTCTTTTTGCGGAGTGCGGAGCGATGTGTTCATGGCGGGTTGGTGCTGGTGTAGAGAATGCATGGGTGGGTGGATTGAGCGTACCGCTGCTGGATCTTGTGGAAGGCCTGGAGGAGAGGGACGGGGACGAAGACGATGACAGCCTTCTTGCCGTGGCCGACCTCGACCTATAATTGAATTTGTTAGAACCAGATCATAAAACCCAGATGTATTTTCAACGCCGATTCTGATCTCCCCAGCCACGCCGAACAGCAATGCCTCCGTTCCGTCCCAATTGACCGATATCAAATTGTCCATATTTTTTTTTTTCGATTCGACATTTCCTCCCCCGTGGCCCGTGTTTTCCCCCAAATCCAACCAAAGAAATCCGTAACCGCTTACCTCACGAGCAGACACGAACTGCAGAGGCCGGAGAGTAGCCTTCAGGTCCTGTGTGTTGCTCTCCAAGTCGAAGAGAGCACCCGCGATCGCGGTCTCCAGCTCGGAGGGGTTCTGCCTCGAGGGCGAGTTGTGGGCGATCTTGTTGATGGCAGCCATTTTGAAAGGGAATGTAGTGCAGACAGGGAGATCTGACTGTGCTGCTGCTGGGGGTGCTGTCCCTTTGATGTGGTTGCTGGCGGGTTGGTCGACGGAGAGCAATTCAAATTGCGACTTGTGAGGGCGGAGTTTGGGCGCTGTGGGATCGGAGGCTCGGCCTCGCTTAGCTGGGGTCTGCCTGTTTAGGACTAGTGCGTCATGTGACTTGGATGCCCTCTATACAACTCACTTCCTTCACGATGAATAGACTCTCAAAAAATGTATGCAATTGATGTATAACGATTGTATGTACTCAAATGATACACTGCTACTAAGAGCACGTCGCTGAGGCAGCATGAAATCCAGCACAGCAAGTCAGAACGCCACAAAACAACATGGAAAAACGCAGAGATCACTCTGTAACCTGGCGACTGACGGTATCTGTAAGAAAAGAATTAAAAACACATTATTAACAAGCGCATCCCTCCTTCGCCGTCGCCGCACCGCGATCCCCAAGGTTGACTCGTGAGTCGTCGGTCGATCGACCGCCACCCCCAATAGTAGTCTGCCCGGTGCCTGCGCCAGCGCCTCGTCCACTCTTCAGACTGCTCTCTGGAATGGCATTGGCAATCGCAGTAAAGACGTCCGTCACATTCAACCCGGTCTTGGCGCTGGTCTCGAAGAAGAGAAGTCCCTCCTCGTCCGCATACGTACTGGCCTCCCGCGTCGGCACCTTTCGAGCATCACCAGGCGTGTTATCCTCGTGCTCTTCCTGGTTCTCGCCAGCATCGTCTCCCTCCGTGGCTTCTCGCTCAGCCTCGGCGGGTGTCTCGCCGCCATCATTCGTCAAATCCAGCTTGTTGCCTACCAGAGCAATAACAATGCCAGGACTGGCTTGTCGCTGCAGTTCCGCCACCCAATGCTTGGCCTTTGTCAGAGAAGAGGGCTTGGTCACATCGTAGACCACGAGCGCCGCCTGGGCGTTACGGTAGTACATGGGGGCGAGCGAAGCAAAGCGCTCCTGACCGGCGGTATCCCAGATCTCAAACTTGATTGTTCGGGTGGGAAGCGAGCACTTCTGAGTCAGGAAGGCAGCTGATACGGTCAGCTTCCTGAAGGCAAATCGTCATCGCCGGTCGCTTACCTCCAATTGTGGGCTCCTTGTTCTCCTGGAAGTCATTGTTGACGAATCGCAGCACCAGCGAGGACTATCAACCACAATGCGTCAGTACCGACTTGGCCACCGTGGGTTACCCATGTACAACGAGGGAAACAAATGCCGAGGCGCAGATACCACGCCAGCAGGGGAACAGGAACATCGTACCTTTCCTACAGCGGCTTCTCCCAGAAGTACCAGTTTGACACTACTGCTCGGCTTTGGCGCACTCGCGGGAGTTGACTCAGACATGGCTAACGGGGCCCAACGAGGGAATGGCTTGGATGGATCAGGTCGTCGTGCAGCAACAGGCAAGATATGAACAACGGGTGATTGCAAATTCGCAGGAGAACAATCCGGGTAGCCTAAACGCAAAAAAGAAAATAAGAAAAGAGTCAGAACCACTGGCCTGTGTTCAGTGACTCGGTTTCAAGCAGGGGTTGTTTGACAGGCAGCAGACTAATGGAAAGACGCAGAGTAGAGCACACACCAGTACCAGGAGAGAGATGGAAAGAGCGGTGGGCGGGTGGAGATAGGGCAGCCTGCTCTGGCGGGATTCTAGACGCCTTGCAACCTGCCGTATGTGATTTGAAAGCTCGCAGACTGTTGGTCCTTTAAAGTCAGGTTTCGTCAGAGTGTCGGTCGATGCGACGGATTCATCGGCAGCACCAGTCGCAACCGTCTGTAATGAGGCGGAGACCTGGGCAGCTGATGACGCTAGTCCAGGTCAGGCCTAGCGCCCTCAGCCAGTCACGGGAGTCACGGGAGCTGCCCGCGCCAGGGATAGTGGTTCTTGCGGAAACAAGCAAGCAAAGAACCGTTGGATTAGAGGACAAGTTCCTGATTTTCATGCTTCCGGCTGATTGTTTGTTTGCTTGCAGGCGTTAGACGGTTAGATAGATCTACAACCTGGATTTGATCATCTCACCTCTGCCAAAAAGCAAAACAGCCTGTGCTTTCGCTATCTGCGCAAAGTACTCGGCCGGATCTACAACCCCAACGCAGCAGCAGCAGCACAATCGCACAGAGTCACAGCGCCATCAGAATAAAACCGGTCAGAGCTTCGATGAACGAAGGAATGAAAGAACAACACCTTAGGCCTCTCCGCTCTAATCAGTGTCCACCGCCAATGGAAAGCATCGCTGGTTGACACCCAACGCAGTCTAGTTTGATTGGGCCCAGCACTAAAGCGCCGGGCCTTTGGGTACAAGTCGCGATACCTAGTGCCCGCTGGCCCATGCGTAGCTACCTAGGGTCCTAGGTACACAGTGCCCGGTATAGCAAATGGTTGTACATGTAAACGTGCGTTGACACGCAGTCGGAGGAATGACGTGCCAGAGGAGGACGAGCAGAGGCCTGGCGGTGGTTACATACCCAGGCTCGCACGGCATCAACCTCTGCATCCCCGATAGCTGCCCAAAAAAAGAAGCACGGCGCAACGCAAGAACGCAACGCTGGGATTCTCGACCAGGGCCTGCCGGATAACTAAGGCACCGTTAGCTTGACTCAAAAACACCCGGGCGAATGAGAGGTACCTGTGTCTGTAAAATCCCGGCTGGCAATCAAGACCAAGGCGATTTCATCGGCGGTGTCGTTTATGGATTTGTTGGCCAGTCAGTCAGTGGTCAAAGGTTATTTGTTGGAGTCGCCCAAGTTTTTATGAACCAAGAAAGGCTTGCCAACACCTGCTTTCATTCTCGAGGAAATCTCAGGATAGTGTACAGAAAAACGCGACAAAAGTACCACTCTTCATAAACAAAGGAAATCTAGTATCGATCAAAAGCAAAAACACAGCCCAGGGCTAGAACGAAAAAGTAAAAGGAAATATAAAAAAAAGAGTCGGCCGCGAGGCCACAAATCTAATATGTCTTGGTATCAACCCATGCATCCCAGAATCTCAAGCCCAGTCCTGTCTATACCAAACGCCAGTACAAAGAAAAAATATGGTAAACCCCAAAATGTCAGTATCCAGAAACGTCGCAGCACTTTTGGTGTCAAATCTGATCATGGCCTCAACTTGTTCGTGTCGGTGAAAGTATTAAATGTAGTAGATAAGGTCTCGAAAGTATCGGTCGAAGAGAAGAGCGGCACGGCGGTGTCGATCGAGAAGGGTCAAATGTAAAGCTCCACTTGGAGAGGAATGGCGATATTAAAGCGATCTATGAAGTCCGAAACGAATAGCGGCCGATGATGAACAGGGTAGTGTTACAGAGAACTGCACGGCAGGGTTAGCACTGGAACGAATGTACCTGGTCCGAGGACCACTCACAGTAAAAGATCAAGTTCATAGCAGACACGTCAAACTCCAGAGGCCAAGGCGCCATGGAACAAAACCACAAACGACTTTTCGCACAGGAAAAGAGAAAATCACAGTATCATGTGGTTGGCACATGCAACGGGAGCCCCAGACGTTTATTTTGGGGGTGGTGGAGGAGCGCCAGGCTTCTTAACTCCCGTCGTGTCATAGGCTCCCCTTCCCATGTTGCAAGCTGAGAGGTCTCGGAGAATCATGTGGAGGTCTGCGCGAACAGTCATGGTCAGCTTGGGTGGATTTCCAATTGACTTGGTAAAGGAGCGAGAGCGCGGTGCTTATGAACCAGAAATACGGGGGAATGACTCACGGTATAAATAAACACAGAATATATCTCACTCAGCTTTATTAATAAATATTCCAGAAAACGCAACTCAGCCGGTGGCTGTGGCCTAGTCTGTGTTGGACAACGGAGGTGGATGCGTCGACTAGCGGGTGAGGTATCAAGATTCCAGGCAAAGTTGCAGCTGCAGGCGAGATCCGATCCTTTAAGTGCCCACAACCCCAATCTAAGGCAGGGTGACGCAGTGACGAGGCAGCACGAGCAGGTAGGGCAGGAATGCGACAAAGTACCCGGGTACTGCACAAAGGATTGCGAGGGATGCTCCGGCGCGCGGAATCAGAGGACCAGTCCGTCTGATTTGGAGGCTTTCGATTTGCTGTCAACAAGCGCTAGAAATGGCGGTTGCTGAGGATTTATTTCCGCTAGTTCGCTAGGTAGGAGTAGCGGCGCAGGGGGAAAGCGTATATAGTGTTCGATGAGGATGGCCGGGACCGGCAGATCGCAGCAAGGAGGAGGAAAGGGAGAAGAGTAGATGCCGCGGGAGTTGGCCTGTTTGGTCCGGGCGTGGAGGGACTTTGACTGGAGAGATAGCAGGAGGGAGGACTCAAGGGAGGAAGCCGTCACGTAATAGGCAATGGAGAGGTCCTGGGCAGCGAGGACAAGGGAATGGCCGCGGAGGGAGTGCGAGTAGGAGGTGTGTCCGTCAAGGAATGGATGATGGTGAGGAATTTCAAGAAGGCCGACAGACGGGGGGATCCAGCTTTGATATATAACCACCTAGGGTCTTTAAAGAGAGGTATCTTTTGAGTATGGTCTAGAAATCTAATTAAACAAAAAAAAAATAAGAGAGTCAAAAAAAGCAAGGCTTAAACCTACAGGGAAAAGCAAAAAGACGCCAGGGAGCAGTTTTAAAGGGGAAACAGAAAATAAATGACAGAAAGAGGAATACTATGGATGAATCGTCATAAACAATACATGGAACACGGCTAAGACTGAAATGAGAAAAAGGAAAATAAAATAAATCGGACTTGGAAGCTCTGCGGCTCTCCCGCGTCCCGATACTAAGGTACGCGAAGCTGTGGGTTTTGCCAGCGATCCATCAACCGCCCCTTTCTTGCGTTCTTAGGGGGTTCCCCAACACTTCCATTGTGCTTCCACACTGGATGGAGTCCCTAAACTTCAGGCCTCGGGCGCCCTGGGCGTCCTCTTTGTTTACGTGAGAAGTATTGCTCAGACATCAGAGTCTCAGGGCTGGATGTATCTAGCTGAAAGCTCTCGGGCAGCGTATTTTGATTGCCTCCCAAAAATAAAACGGCGATGAATAATACGCCAACAGGGAACCAACAGGGGCATGGCGTCAGGTCAGGCCCAGCCACCATCATCATTTGAAGTCGAACTTGAAACTGATCTGGAAAAAGAACATAAAGCGAGAGCAAATATTACTAGAGCTCTCCACCGGGACCCATCGGGGAATCAGAAGCTAAGAACCGATTGTTCGGACCAGACAGACAAGTTTGATGGCGATAGAGGCTGCAGCAGAGAGGTCCGCGGATGGATCCGAATCCAGACTCCAGACTGTCCAGTCCACTCAATCTGCACCAGACCCGCCTCTCTTCATCAATTTCTCGCGTGGTGACGATGCCTTTCGCCTGAAAGACGCAGAGTCAGGGGCACTAAGACAGCCTGTCCAGGGCCCTATGTCGTTGGCCGGCGGTTTCTTTGATCGCTCCAACCAGAGGCGCAAACGTTAATCAGTTTCTCCCGAATTTTCAGGCCGGGGTCGTTATTGGTGGCGGATGTGCAAATTAACGCCGACAGCCGTCATGGTTGGATATTGAGTCAAGAGACTCAAGACCGAGGTTTAGTATCCGTTGGCAAGCAGATCTTAACAGGCATTACCCCGGCTCGGCTGAGACGAGCGAATCATAATATTGTTTGACAATCATTTAAAGATTCAGGCTGCAGCACATGCGAAGCCGTGAAGCTTCTGAGCCTTCCATACATGACGCGGAGTCCGACGAGGTCCTCTTGTGATCTGACCCCACGACTGGACGAGTCCGTAGTCCGTACAACTGACATCACTGGTCAAGCAGAGTCTAAGGACGCCTCGATCTCCATGCTGCAGCCGCGGGAGCTGGTACCTACAGCCGTCAGCCTAGCGCGAAGACTATCGCCAGCCAGATCGCTCTCCTTCAGTCTGCGTCGATTCTATCACGGGCGGAACGCTGCGACCAGACGGGTTTCTGTCACTTTTCCTCCGGACCCGGTCTGATGGACGCCCAACCGCCTGCATCTGCCAAAGTACAGCAGGTGTCGATAAGGTTTGCTCTTCTTTTTCTGCTTGCTTTGTTTCGGCGCCCTTTGCTTTTTCCCTGTGACGGTCACGGGGGGATATCCGCCTGGGCAAAAGGGGTGCTGATGATTACCAAATCATCAGGAACGGAGGATATCCGGCTATCCACAGGCCAGCCCGCTTTCCCCGTTACCACTAACCTGTATCGCCGGTACTGTACCACCGGCAGTCCATCGAATCTTCTATTCCTTCTAGCGTCTTTCCCAACAGGTTCTCCCCACAGCGGACTGTCATCTGCTAGCCCCTACATCTGGCAGCCTGCTTCTCGTTCGTCCACAGCCCACCGCGTGCCTGGAAACCCTGGG